CTCCGATCAAATTGCGTAATTGGCACTGGTCTTTTTTTGTTTGTAAGATTCACACGAGGTGAAGACCCGCAAGACCCAAAGCTAATCGAAGAGCCACTTACATAACTGTGCGTCCCATTCAAAAATCCAGAACGCAATCCACAAACAACACAAGAACTAAGAACCGGCGTCTTCGGCACTGAACCAACGTCAACAACGGCCACTCGCTCGAGACTGACTTTACCAAGTTTAGGTTGCAACCGCGTGTTTGTGTATTTCACCTGCTCGGTCGGTATTTGCCACCTGCCGTTATTTCTTCACGAGGGGATACACAAAAGTTACAGCCAAGAGGCCACGGCGTCCGCCCGATTTGAATCCACGCGAAATCGCGTAGTTGGGGCGCTTGCAGGAAAAATAAACCGACTGTCTCATAAAAGCCGATGTTTGCATAAATAGACGATTTTCTAATCATTCCGTAAAGTGGTTCTGGCCATCTTCACGCGGAAGAAATTCCGCGTTGTTTGCTCATTAATTTGTCAATCACCTTTGTCATCTGTGCGTTTCGATCAAGATGCGTGGAATGTTAATAAGCATGAAGTAATTGATATTTTGTGCCGGAAGAACATAGCTGTACGCGGCCGCTTATATCATTTTTGTAAATGATTTTATTAAGTTTTTGTTCATTCACGTCGTATTTTGCTATTTTCCTGAGAGTTTATTAACAAGACGAAACAACTTGTCGGAAATGTTACAAATACCGGCCTTCCGCTGCACAAAACAGCATCGATGCAACTAGTTTCAATTAAATTATGAGCGTGACAAAATTCTAAATGACTTGCAACATTTTTTGTGGTTGTTATGTTGTTAATTCTGCGGTCTTCGTCGGCATTCAGGTCTGAAGTTGTGTTAAAATTAGACTTTTACTGAAAATCAAAATTTTCTTTTCTTAGTTTGGCTCGTCTCCATTTTTTCGGTCTGAGTACGAAATGGTTTTAATTATGGAAATGTACTTTTGACACTCAATTGCGTGTATCTCACTTTTAAACTTTCAATTTTTTTGAGATAATTATAGCTTTGTAAAAAATCGAAATTCTCGCTTCTCTCACGAATCATTTGATAGACAACGACTACTTTCGATTTTGATGTATTTTGTGAAATTTGTAACCGGCTTAACAGTGGCATTTTATTTGCTCTGATATGATAAAAGGTGAAAGTGATATGCTAATTTATTGCTGTGTTGCTTGATAAACAATAATTAAGTTACTGAATCATTTCCCTATTTTACTCGTAAAAGCCTTTCACGATTTTTACAAACGTTCAGATACGTCTATGTAAGATTTGCTTTCCTTTCCTATTTCTTATTAAAAGGCAAATTTAATTTATTTTCGTAAAATAAAAGAGAAGAGTTTCTTAATAATTATAAAACATTTTTTAATTAAATCCTATTTTTTTATTTTATTTTTTACCAAAATAATAATTTTGATATTTTTTTTTCTTTAATTATATTTTTCTGAAATTTAAAAGGGGCCCATAATACATACAGGGTGTCAATTTTAAAACTTACAATCGGCAATATCTTTAGAACTAAAAAAGTTATTCAGAATCACTCAAAACTGTTTCGGTGATTTTTAGGGGGAATCAAAATGACATTTTAAGTGACGCTCCTCCACCCACCCTTCAAGCCACAGCCACCTTAAGTTGAAAATTTTGAATGGCACAACCCTACTTGCGATACATCGTTGGAAAGCCCATAACAAGCGCTTTTCAAAAATGTCATACAACAGCCTATTTGGTAAAGCCATTTTTCTAATTATTCAAAAACGAAGACGTTAAATTTTCATTTTTTTATTATATTCAAGCGTGGGAGGAAGTGTGTCACTTATCATGTCATTTTAATTCCCCCTAGGAACCACCAAAACGTTTTTGAGTGATTATTAATAACTTTTTCAGTTGAGAGAAATTGTCGATTGCAAGTTTTAAAATTGAAATTACAACGGATAGTGAACTAACAATAAAAAGAAAATAAATATTAGATATTTTCATGTTTAAAAAGATATTTTTAGCAAACTTTTTCCGTGTTCTAAATTTAAAACAAAACTATTGCGTATTTTTCAAAAAGAGTTTTGTTCCAAACAAAATATTTTCTTAAGTTGGATGCTGATTTGTGAAAGTAAAAATTGTTTGTAAGTTACAACAAACGTGAATTCAGAGGTCTTGAAGGTATCTTAAAAAAAAATAAAAAATAATAGTCAAGAATTTAATAACTAGAAATGGTTAACAGTAGTCAGTTTGTGAAAAATGTCAAAAATATGTTTGCTTCATTAACAAAAATACCTTGACAGTGCAGTCAGTGCCTACTACGATAACTTGTATTCCCTCTCAAAACCTTATTTGCATAATATCGCCCCATGCACTCCAACTCCAGATTAGGATTCTTATGGCTTAACCTCTGATAACTCTCCCGACATCGCCTAACTTCATACGGCTCCACCTCTTCCTCCATCACAACCCTCGAACCCGGTTTCCGTTCAAAAAGCGTTAACCCACGTTCATCCAATAAAAAATAATCGACTTTTCCGGAGAGCACGTCCATGGTGGCCTCCTTGGGGTACACCGCGGTGACCCCTTTCCCAGACACCAAAATAGGGAACTTGCTTTTAGGCGCCGGTTCAGGCTCGGGTTCGGGTTCCGGTTCTGGTTCAACCAGAGGCGGCGTGGGTGATCTCGGGGGTGGCGGTGGCGGTTGTCTCACAGGAGAAGGAACTTTGATCGCCAATGGCGGGGCTCGGATGTAGACCGGCCGAAAAAGCATCTTCGGGGATGCACTGCACCGAAATAACGCCTCGACCGGTGATTAACGACAAGAATAACGAGACATGTTTGTTATTTGTGTTAGATGGCAAGAAGGAGGTATCTTGCAGCCAAATGGCATTCCTTTGATGCAATTGGACCTAAATTTGGATCGGGGTGGAATTGAGGGGCACGTGGAGTCCTGGAGTCAAGGTTTGGTAATCGGAGGCCAAGCATTGCTAACGAAAAGAACGTTAACACGGAAAATGACGCCTCTAAAAATATTCTTCGAATGGCAAGTTCTGATTTGCCAAATGTATTGGGAGGAAGTTTTTTCATAATGGATTTCTTTTTTTGCTGATTTACGTCTAAGAAGTGCCAAGAATTCCGGTTACAATAATGTAATGGAACAGTTTGTTTGCGATAAATTTTAATTATGTGTGAACAAGGAATAGGAAGTACACTATTTTTTTTTGTTTTTACAAACCCGGATGCGGAAGGTCTTCATATTTATATCGTGGGGCAATCAAAATTTTACATAGGCGGTATGACATGTGTATTTCTATTAGATCTAGATCTTGATAGAACATTGCTCTAGTCCGATTTGTTTTAACCTAAAAATAGATTAATTTATGGCCCACTAAAGAGTACAGGACATGTTTAAACAAAATGTGTAATATAAATGCCAAATAACGACTGCAATTCAAATGTATCTTTCATCTCAGTTTAATAAAGTGTTTGCGAAAATGAGATTGCAAAAATGAATACTTATTTTTGGATGGAAGACGTCACAAGTGCTTACTTTTTTTGAAAAGATAATAAACAAAAACAATTTTTGCAAGGAGTTTTATTGTGATAATGTGTACAAAGACAAACACTTGAAAAGAACCAAGAGTGACAAGTGGGAGGTTACAGTTGAATCATTTTCTCAAGTTAGAAGCAAACCTTGCCCCAGAATCAAAATGTAGAAAGAGAAAGGACTTTTAATTAACTGCCAAACTATTTTGTCATAACAGCAAAGTTGGTGTCTAGCAGTTTGTCTATCTATTACTAAAAGATAATTCGGTATTTCTACCCAAAAAAGCAAATATTTGTCAGTGTTATAACAGTTATAACAAGCAAATAAATTATTAAATGATTCAAAAAAAATGGTGAAATTATTTGGAAAAATTTATAAAATTACAATATTTTGTAGCTAGTTTCAAAATGAATTTTTACAACAAAACATGTAAGATAGATGACGATTTCATCGTAATTTTTGAGGTTCTCACTTTGCAATGACTCACTTTTTGAAAACAAGCCAAGTAAGACTAAAAATCCTCTTCATTTTTGAGAATGGATTATCATTTATCAGCATTTAACTGAATACTTAAAATAAATGATTCCGTTTTTCATGGACTTCTTATTTTTAATATTCTTTCAACTGAATTTAATAAATAGCTCATAAATTTAAATGAAAGTAGTATTGAACCGATAAAATTTATCTAAAAGGCTAAATCGTTCCAGAAACCGGAGAATAATCAGAATATTTTGCAACTTTATATGTATACCAAATATTGGTATAATTATTAGTAAGGGGTCGCTCTGTAAATTAACTTAAAGCATGCGGAACTTTCTCCTAAGAAGTTTTTTCGAAGCCCACCCAAAACACAGCACACAAGTCACAAGTAAAGTTATTTATACTTGTTCAGGTATGTATAAGATGATGTATGTAGTTACGGAGAGTGTGTGCGGGCGCCAAATTTCGTGTCCATATTTCAAAACTGAATAACGTTAAAAAAAGCAACAGTGCCACACAAAACAGACGCGAATATCCCACTCATGTCAGAAATAACCTTTTGAAACAAAAAATATTGTTAATTCGCAATGAACACAAAAATAGCAAAGGGTCGGTCGAGAGTAGGTATGATTCACTCACCTGAATTTAGACATTCCGAAAAATATGCTGCGCTCGTGTAGGTGATAATGTGATGTCTCGATTGGTTTATTTTGATAAAAATGTAAAATTATTTTTAGCGGTGTTGGGGGTTCGTGTCGACATTATTACGCACACTTTTTACTCACACGCATAAAATTATATTTGTTAGAACGAGAAGCTTTAAACCTAAGTTTATTTACAAATATAATTTTACGACAACCATTCACATTGAGGTCTTTTTAATAACATTGTTCTAGTCACTTCATGCAACCTGTCTACTGTTATTATTCAACAGTTTTTTGAGTTTTCTTACGTTACTCTTGGCCTGGAGGTATTTTCTGTCATCGTCTTTTTCGGAGGACCGTTCACGAACACTAAAATCGTCAATTCGGACGTCCGCTGAAAACCTTCGCGTTGGATTGATATTCGTAACACCGTTTTCATTAATAAGGACATACGGAACACGGCCCGACAACACTCCTCGAGCCGCTTCTTTTGGTATAACTGCTTGAAAAGTGTCTCTACTGATCAAAACCGGAAACTCCACTTTAATTCTCTGGATCAAGAGATCCTCAATAGCGAGAAGGTTCTGATTTTTCAGCATTTGTAAGGGAATATCACGGGAACTCTTCAACGGTGGTCCTCGGGATATCAAAACTGCGCTCTCCCTTATCAACTGTCGAATCCTAGGGTCAGAACGGCCACGTTCTGGGCTTTTCTTGATCCTTTCTAGGGCACTCTTCAGTGAGAAATCACGTTCGGCCAATTGACGGATTAAATTTGTCCGTTCTAAAAGCTCAATAGCTCTACTATCAGTTATTTGATCCAAATCGGTCATTTCAGAAAGAATCTCCTCTACTTTCCCCATTCCGAGGGCTCTAGCAAAACTGACTGCCTCTTCTTGTAGTTCCTCAAGCTCGTCCACTACATGGGACAAATTTTCTTTCATTAAAGTCCTTGTTGCTTCCTCTATGGATTCCTCCAGCAACTCAATTGCGTCTTCTTCAGTCTTAACCTTAATCACCCCCTTTTTAATATTTTTGTCCAAATAATTTATAATTTCGGGATCAACTTTGGCAATTTTTACAAAAGCTTCGCACTTAATTTCAGACTGTTTCTTGAGAACCTTCTCGACGCGGTCTATGACGTCGTATGCCGACAAGTTAGTGATGATGTCGTTCAAGAAAGTTATTTTGGTATCGGTTATGTTCTGGGTCAGCTGTTTGTAGACCGCATTGCATATTTCCGCTCGTTCCATCGGAGTATTCATCAAATCTAAAAGATCTGCAAGAGTTTGATCGTCGTTCTTCAACACTTCGATTATAATATCCCCAATGGCATTCAGGGCAAGAATTTGATCTTTGGGGCGCGTTTTAAAGACATCATTGGCTGCTACCGCTGCTGTTTTAAGCATGACTTTTAATTTGTTGCGCGAACTGTTGAATTTCATGTCTGCCTCGGACAAGTTACTTACAGAAATATAAGCTTGATTAATATTGTCCGCATTTACGCTATTTTTGTCGCGGAAAGTCGCTGCCCTCCGCGCTATTGTCATCAAAATATCCGAAAGTCTATTAATAGTTTCTTTATCGCTGGTTATCTTTGATGCTAGTTCGATCGTGTCGCTTTCACTGACATAACTTACAAGACTGTTCTCCGTTGCGACGCTCAATTTTCGCAGTTCTTCGAGTTTTTTGCGAAGTTGCTCTCGCTTGTCCTCGATACTTGCGAGGATGTCGTCGAGACCATCGTCCATGAGAATTGATTTAAGTTTTTCGATTTCGAGGCGTTGCTGTTCTTGTTTCAATCTGTGAGCTTCGATGTCAAGTTCTTCGATTTCGGAATTATTCAATTCGATGCTCGAAACATCCAAACTTTTCTCTTCCGACGAAGAAATACTATCGACAACATCGGAAATGTCATCAGCTTCGTCTTCTTCCATCATTTCGGCAGTTTCTTCAATTATTGTCTCTTCCAATTGTTTTTTCTTAAGTTTTTGCTTCTCGGGTTGCGGTTTAGGTCTCTCTTCGACTGTCGTAGCAAAAGTGAGTTGACCGTCTGATGTGATTGTCGATTGCGTTGGCAGAAACATCGGGTCGTGTTCTTCTTCGCCCATAATTAGACCGCTGATCAAAGTCGGCTTGTTATCAACATTAATGGTGATTCCAGGGGCGTATTCTAACCCAAATTCGTTTTCGACAGTTTGGCCAGGGACAAAAACATCACCATCTTCAGTGTGGACCATTTGTCCACTTATGAAACATTCTTTTCCGGAGGGTAAAGTAACTCTAACACCTGATACACGCCGTTTAGTTTTCCCATTTTCCTCGTCACCTTCTTCAATTTCGATTTCGTCAAAAGTGGCTCTACCCATGTTTCTAATAATGTCGGGAATCTCCTTCATTGTTGGCAGCTGGTCCAACATTTCGGGACCCTTTTTCAGTATCGTTTCGTTAACGTTTTTCGTCGATTCCAAATCGTCGATTTCCATATCGATGTTTTGTTCAACAGCTGGTTCGTCAATTTCGTCAATAATTTTCTTAGCCTCTTCTTCAAATTTGTTCCAGTCGAGATTTTTAATACTTTCTTTCATCATTTCCTTCCATTCTTTTGAACCTTCCTTTGCTTGCCTCTTTCGGCGACGCATGATACGTCTCAATTCTTCCTCCCATTTCTCCTCCTGCAACTCCTTGTCTTCAAAAATTTTCGCCAAACTCATCGTGTATTTCCCGTGGTGGTGAAACTTTTCGTCCTCTGGACATGTCGCTCCTTCACCACAATACAGTTTGTCTTCCCCGTCGTAATACTCAATTTCCATCGGAATTTTCTTCATACTTTTAAGCTTAACTATAATTTTGTCATTACGTTGTGAGACTAGAACGTCAATCACGTCACCATCTAGAATTGCTTTTTCTAATTGAGCTTGCAAAACAATGTTATATTTCTTATCATCTACCGTATACACAAAATTGCCTTTTCCTTTTTTGCTGTCTAAAATTGTAAGCAAAAGCTTGTGGCTTTCGTTATCCGAATCGAGGACTGGAGTCATATAAGTGTAATCCTCCATTTCTTTGTGAGGTTTTTTACCAAAATTTTTGACCTTTCTGGACCGTTTCTTTTTGTGATTGAGTAAGACTGGTATGTAGTGCTGGATTTTGGCACCTAGTAGCCATTTACCTGTGATTCGGAACGTTCGAAGAGCTTCTTTAGGTGTCAAAGGCTTGAGCAAGGGCAAATAAAAATTGCGCGAGAAAATCCGACTTGCGGCGGTTATCTTACAAAATGACAACACGTAATTCACCATTTTTAAAATTTTATTGTGAAAGTAAGGTCAAAGGGCTTATTTATTCATACGGTAACACTTGAATTATACATCGATTTATTATAAAACATTTCGGACACACAACACGCAACGATCGACAAAATATCAATTTATTACAACAGTATAAATAGAAGCAGATAAGACAAGAAAAATCGTTTCGTAAATCGGCTCGTTTGCGGCGAGTTAAGTCATCCCGACGTTAGAACGTTGAACAGACTAGCGTCGCGACGCTTGTTCGCCTCATCCCACTGGACCACTCGTTTAGAACCGTATTCTTCCGAATTCACTCGTGTAAGCGTTGAGAGCATGCTGGTATTTGAGCATCCTCGTCTGACTTCGCGCCTTCTCTAAAATCTCCTTAGTTTTATCGTCTTCGAAGAAAGTCCCCTTTCTTATACTGCGTTCCAATTCGACCAACTTCTGACTTTTCTTCACCGGTTCTATCGGAACGTAAGGTGGAGGCGGTTCAAACTTCAGTTCTTTAAATTTCTTTCGAATGCTCATCCGAATCGAATCGACTTTGCTTTCCTCCTTCAGTATTTTCTCTTCCATGCGTTCTTTCTGTCTTTTCTTTTCCTCCTCTTCTCTCTTTAACCGTTGCTCTTCAAGAAGTATCAAGGGATCATCCAAGGGCTGACGTTGCGGTCGGAATTGCATTTCACGTCGAGGTTCCTCTTTAGGTTTCATTTCTACGACTGGTGGTTTCTTCCTTACTCGTTCTTTACGAACTGGTTCTTCAGGTTCGTCGATAACGCGCCGACGTATGACGATCTCCTCATCTTTTTTTGGTTTGGGTTTTGGCTTCGTTTCAGGTGGTGGAGATGGCGAGGAATCCGAAAATCTTTTGTGCTCTATAGGCGGAAGGTCGTCCTCTGTCACCTCAAACTTCAACTGACCTTTTTCGGTAATTGTAGACTCGCCAGGTAAAAACATGGCGGGCTGTTCCTCCTCACCAAATACCAAACCAGGAATCAAAGTAGGCTCGTTGTCCATGTAAATAGTGATACCTGGAGTGTACTCGCAGTTTCCTCCTTCGGTTTCTACCGTTTGGCCTGGTACAAAAACCTCATTTTCATCACTTTTCACCATTTGACCTGTAATAAAACACGTGCGCCCGTCGTTCATTTTAACCTTGACGCCTGAAACATTCTGCAATTCACACATCTCGCCGCTTTCTAGGATCTTGATAACTTCTGGGATTTCTTTCATTGTCGGTAACTGAGATAAGATCTCGTCTCCACCCTGTTTGAGTTTGTCTCCCACGTTTTTGGTTTTTTCCATATCATCAACTGCCATCGGAATATCTTCTTCTTCGACGATTTCACTGGATTCCTCAACGATTTGTTTTGTGTCTTCTTCAAATTTGTCCCAATCCATGTTTTCAAGACAACCTGACATCATTTGTTTCCAGTCGACGGCATCTTCACCTTTCACTTTCTTCTTTCGTTTGTTTGCAAGTCTCATCATTTCCAGTTCCCATTCTTCAACGCCTGACTCTTTGGCTTCGAAAAGTTTTGCAATGGACATTGTTTCTTTGCCATGGTGATGTTCTTCTTCTATTGTTTCTTTTGTCCAACCACTGCCTCGGTATAATGGGGCATTGCCGTTGTAGCTGGCGACGGGAACCGTTACTTTGAGGCCGTTACTCAGTTTCACCAAGATTTTTTCGCTTCTTTGAGCCATGGTGATGTCAATTATTTCTTTATCTTTGACGGCTTTTTCCATCTGGCAGGGGATAACAAGGGTACAACCCTTATCTAAGATTTCGTAAGTGTAGTGTTGACCTTTGCCTTTTGGTTTTCGATTGAGGATACTCTGTAGAAGCATGTGGTTTTCCATATTCTCATCCAGAAAAGGTTCGACATATCGCATACTTTCATGCTTTCGGATTCTTTTCTTAATGACGGGTGTTCCTTTACCTCTCTTTTTCCGTTCTGAACTTTTTTCTTCATGGGTGGTGAGGACAGGGATGTAATGTTCTATTCTTGCACCTAGAATGTTCTGTCCAGTGATGATTTTCCTTCGAAGGGCATCTTTGGGCGAGAGTGGCTTCAAGAGAGGAAGGTAATAATTTCTTTGAAAAAGTTTGCTAGCGGCGGTGATCTTGCAGAGGGATATCTTAACGTTAATCACCATTTCGTTTATTTGCTTCTATATGACGAAAAAGGTTGCACTAGAGTATACTACTGGCTATTGTTAAAACCGGTATGTATCGAGTCGAGCATCACGAACGGTAATGAACTAAAATGCGGATGGTGAGGGGTCGCGATTGGAAATAGAATAGATCGACGTATGTCATCTAACCCGATTACCGATTTATCAACAGCCAAATGCAGTGACCTAATTGGTCCAAGTTGTCTCCTACTAAATGACCGACTTCCAAACTCGGTGACGCATTATCCCCACCGAATCGAACGTGTGTCTGTACTCGTGCATTTTATTCCACATGAAGGGCTGAGGGTACTCTTTGTTCAAGTATTTCTTATAGTCTACATCAAAAAACTTTCCTTTCTTAATGTTCTTCTCCAGTTCTTTAAGCTTCTCGCTCTTCTTTACCGGCTCCAAGGGCTCGTATACTGGTGGAGGTGGTTTACTATCTACAAACTGTTTGAGTTTGATCCTGATCTCCCTTCGCTTCTTATCGATATCCACCTCTTCCTTCGCTTTTTTGTTGTTGAAATTCTCCACGCGTTCTTTTTCTTGTTCCAACAGATCTTTCTCAAAAGTCGGTACCGTCATATCGTACAACATCGGTTCACCAGGCACTCGTACTACCGCCGGCGTCGGTTCCGGCTTTGGCTCTTCCTTCGGCGCAGCTTTTTTCGACCGTTCGCGACGTTTAGGACCCATACTTTCAGTAGCGTACACACGTTTGGGCCGTTCGTAAATGAGCTCTTTCTTTTCGCGTTTAGGGGGCGGCTTCGGGCGTTCCTCCTCCTTCTCCTCCTCACTGTTTTGCTCCTCCTCTAACTCGACCTCTTCCACCTCCTCGACTTCAGGCAACAAAGCAAGCGAGTCCTTCCTGATATCGTCTTCGGTTTCGGCGAACTGCAGCTCGCCGGATTCAGTTATGGTGGACTCTCCTGGCAAGAACATAAGCTTGCTTGGATCGTCGCCCATTACCAAACCGGGAAGGAGGGTGGGCTCGTTGTCCATAATTACAGTGAAGCCGGGCGTGTATTCCGAGCTGCCATCTTCCATTTCGACGGTTTGACCAGGAACAAATAATTCACCATCCTCGGATGACACAATTTGACCCGGAACGAAACGGTCTTTACCGGAAGAGGGCAAATTTAAAGACATTCCGGAAATATTGGCGATTTCTGACAATGAACCCTCTCGCATTACTTTTACACACTCTGGAATTTCGGGCATTGTTGGTAACAACGACAATACTTCATCACCGGCTTCCTTAAGTTTTTCGTTCACAAATTTGGTTTTTTCCATATTGTCCACTTGCATAGGAATCGGTTCGTCATCTACAGGTTCGTTGATTTCTTCCACAATTTGCTTTGTTTCTTCCTCAAAGTTATCCCAATCCATATTAGCGACAGTAGCAGTCATCATCTGTTTCCAATCAGCCGTTCCTTCACCTTTTGTCTTCTTCTTTCTCTTATTCGCTATTCGCATCATCTCTAATTCCCATTCATCCAAACCCTGTTCTTTAGCTTCGAAGAGTCGAGCAATGGACATGGTTTCTTTCCCATGATGGTGATGCTCCTCCATGTCTTTCTTAGTCCAACCCTCACCTCGGTAAAATGGAGCTCGACCATCATAAGTCAACAACGGTAAAGTAACTTTAGTCCCGTCTTTCAATTTAACAACAATTTTTTCGCTTCTTTGTGCTATCACAACGTCAATAATTTCCTTATCTCTGATAGCTCTTTCCAACTGGTAGGAAAACACCAAAGTGCAGTCCTTATCAGGAACATAATAAGTGTAACATTGACCTTTCCCTTTCGATTTCCTAGATAATAGATGTAGAAGCCTGTCATGATTCTCCATATTTTCGTCAAAAAGTGGCATTAAATATCTCGTATTTGCCTTCTTCCGCAGTCGCTTTTTTCCGGCACCTTTGACTGCATATTTGCGTCGTTGTAACCTCATCAAATATTCTTCCAAAACTGGAATGTAATGCTCAATCCTAGAACCAAGGACATTTTGGCCGGTGAGAATTTTTCTTCGAAGAGCATCTTTCGGTGAAAGCGGTTTCAGGAGTGGTAAAAAGAAATTTCTTTGAAACAGTTTACTAGCCCTTGTGATTTTGCATAGTTGGATCATTACATTGAAAACCATTTTGATGAAATTGATAAAACACTTTACTGAAAACACTAAGTAACAATTTTTTTGTACGTTTGAGACCGGCTCAAAATTCGACTGAGTACCTAGTCGTAGGGGAATTGTGTACTTGATATTATTTATAAACTTGACTTATCTTTCAACGATCTTGCAGAGAGGTTTTTTAGTAAGTCACTGGTCTAAAAACAGAAATCGTCAATGACTATTCAATTGATATTTCTTCTTGATTCATTTTTTGGTTTATTTGTTTTATATTTAAAACAAAGTATTTTTTAATTACTCGATACGATTGATTGCCATAACACTGACAAATATTTTTTATTTTTTCCTGCCATTTTTGTACATGGAAAATTATTTAAGGCGTTTTGTTTCTTGAAAATTAAGCAAGACATTTTTATTCTTTATTTACTCGTCACATTTCAGCTTTAATTAGATTGAAATGTCATTGTGTCATGTTTATCAGTTTGTATAGCAGCATTTTTATTTTTAACTCGGGCAATTTATTGCATGCCTCTTTGGCTGATGGCTGCAGTCTGCAGGAAGCAATTAGGATTCTTATTGGAGTGCTCAAACTGTGCTATTTGAGCCGTAACGTACTGTCAACAATACATTTTTTATGCATTGAAACGATTTATTACATAAAGTATTTTCACTCATTTTATGGCAAATTGGACATAGTTTTTAAAGTTCCCCAATTAAAAAAAAAAACATTATTTAAGTACATTTGCAAATATTTAATTTCAAAATTGTTTACCAGTACAGCAGAGTTGTAATTGATTTTTCACTAATTTCTAATTGTGCTGTGCCCTTATAAGGATCAACAACACTCACAGATACCACGTTTTCATTTCTAGAAAAATATCGCAGTATTGGTTTATTGTTTCAAAGTAGATTTAATCTTACCTGTTTAAAATTATCACAGCAGTAGCACTATCTGGCCTTTGAAACGCCACCACCAAGACATTTTCTTCTCTAGTATTATTTACATCAATTCTTACTGAATCCCGTGGCAAAAATTTTGAAAAGTGCCCCAGATGGTAGTACATGGGTTGTTTATAAAATTCCCCAGCTGTCGCGTTTACAATTATGGGTGAGTCAACGTTATTGTTGATATAGGTTGGTCCACCTGTCAAATCGAGTACCATATTCCAGTCAACCCAACCTTCGACCCAATTCAGCAGGTCCTACAATTTGTTTTTAGAAAATATTTGGGAAAATTGAATTGTACCTACCTCAATTATGTCGACTGAGTAATATTCTCCTCTGTCCCAAGATCCTAAAACTACAGGTCCTACACCTAGGAGAGGTCCATTGCAAGCTTCAGTAGCTAAAATGAATTTTTCCGGAAATTGCGAATGTGTTTCATTTACAACTGTAATAGGAACGATATTGTTTAAATACCAATGTATTGCAACCCCGTCTACGTAATTCCGAGTGGTGTTGTCTTTAAGAGCCTTTACGAATTGCAAAATTATTAGTGTAATGTTAAATTTATAAAACATACCAAGTCTACAAACCATGGAAGGAATAATCTTTGGTCATCCAAAATCATTATTTTGATATTTGAATGTGTTGAATTTCTGATTGTTGGTCCTAAATTGTTTAGTATCCATTTACCCTTCAATACGAATAATCAATACCTACATAATTCTTTTTACTTACATTTACCATCTCTGTGGCATCCCAACCAACGTTATTGATTTGATTCAAAGGCACTAGAGCTAAACTAGGTTCATTTCCTGTTGTTATACCCCAAAATTCTACTCCTTGTTCTTGATAGTTGTCCAAAAATTTAACAAAATAGTTAGCCCAAGTTTGAAACATTTCATCTTTAAGAAATCCAAAACCAGTATATTCCTCATTGGTTTTCATCCATTTTGGTGCAGTCCAAGCAGAAGCAAACAATTTTAAATTATTTTCAGTCAAATTTAATGCTTTTCTAATATATGGAATCTATAAAAATGAAGCTTCACTTGTGGAACAATAGTAACCAGAATTCAATACTTTATACTGATGGTCTTCTTCAGCTAATTTAAAGTTGGTTAAGTTTTTGTCTTCTTCACCATCGTCGTACGAGTAAGCACGGACCGAAAAGTCGGTGCCACCAATCGGTACTCTACACAAACTATACTCAATACCGTTTTTAGAAAAATAAGATTCTAGAAGCTTCCTTTGAACATCTTCTTCTAAGGAAGCGATATTTATTCCAGTTGCATCAGTAAAAGCACCACCCCAACCCAGAATTGTTTGGTACTTTTTTTCAGGGTTGATTATAATCTGATTATCCAGAAGATACGACGGTTCAAATTTTTTCTTTTCAAGATGAAACCTTAAACCAGCTTTATTGGAAGTATAGACCAGAAGCTCAGGTGGTTCTACTTTCTCGGGTTTTGGAATTGTATCGCAGTGGGTCGCGTTACAAACACATACAGTACCACCATGGTCATAATCTCTACTTAAACATTCTTGTGCTTCGGAAAATCCTAGTGAAAAATGATTTTTCATTCACAACGTTATGAGTATTTGATTTTACCTTTGAGCAAAAATAGGAGAAGAAAAATTTTTGCAAACATTATGTACGAAATCTACGATTATTTAAGGACTAAGATAATTAAGAAAGCATTTGATAATGATAAAGTATCATTTTGTCAGTAGGTACTTGTTTGTTTGGCACTTATCGTGTAAATATAGGAATTTTTTTGCAGGTGTGCTTTTTAATTTTTAATATTTATTATCTTAGTATACAAGACAAAGGAACATAAAAGTCTGTACTTACTTTTACTAATACAGTGTTATCATTATCACTACCATTAAGTGTGTGATATTTCAGGTACTATAGGTGTTTAAAAACTATACTTGTTTGCTTTTAGTGTATTTTGTAGTAATAACAATAAATATGTTCTTCTGAAAGCAGTATTCCCTGCAACGTTAATTATATTTTAACTAAAAAACACTCTTATTCACAATCATAATAAAGTAATAATCAAATTACCTTGTATGTGAAAAAGTTGGAAAGTATGACATTTCAACTTCATTTAATAAATTGATATGAAATATCAGGTTCATGTTGGGAAGTTGTCACTTCCTTATTAGTTCATATGTGATATGATTCAGGTTGGGAATGGCCACTTCCCAGCCTGAATTGCCATGTCATGTTTTTGAAAATTTGATAAATTCTTTGTTGGCTTTCTGTTCTTTAAGGAGGATGATTGTGAATAAAATAGTATACGAACCTTAGTGGTCGTTGCTTCATCGTAACTCGGCTTAGCGCCGCGGTCATCAAATTTCACCTTGGTAATGAATCACTTCCCACCTCAGTATGTAATATATACTATTGAATAATTTGCATGATGAGTTGGGTTGGAAACATTTTAAGTAAATAATTTTAATAAACAGACTGTTATTATTTGTAGAAACAGATTTTTAAACTTTTATTTAGAAATAAAATAAACAATGCATTTCGTTTGAATTTACCGCTTTTTTGTCTTGTCATGTTTTCACACCCATAACCTGTTCCTGTGCCCATAACTTCCATTATGCCCTTTCTAATAATCACATAACCTAAAAAGTGGTCAACGTTGGTTATTTACCAATTAAAATACTACTACTTAATTTAATAAAATCTTTTCAAAACCGGTTCTGAATAAAAATCATCTTCGTGTTTGTTCAGCAACAAATAAATATGGACGAAGATGAATTTGGGTAAGCTACACTTAAATTATAATAGTTTGCTTAGCTTTAAACATATTTTTTTGTAAATGCTTACAGAAAGGATGACAAATTTGTTAACATTTACGGTCGAGAAATTCCTGCAGTTATTGTAGGAAAGCAGAAGGAAATTGCACTCTCTTTAACAGAACTGAAACAAACTGGTGTTGCTATTTACCAAAAAAGTCAATATGAAAAACTTTCAAAAATTGACGAGTAAGTATATATCTTTTAGAGATAATTGAGGTTCATAAATGATGAATTTGTAGACCGTTTGACAGCAATTTTGTTGACTATATGTTAGAATCAGCAAAAGCGTACATGTTGAATAATAAAGTATCATTCTCTCAGGATCAGATTATGAGAAGCATTGAGAAGTAAGTATTTAGTTTATTGAAAAGATAAAATATTAAACATGGCTGATTTTAGTTGTAAAAGCATTTTAATAGGCAATAAGTCGCCTGTTTCTCGCAAGCAACCAACTTTTTTGAAACACAGATCTGTAGCTAAACGAGGTGATGATGAAATTTTTATTCAACTAGCTAACACATCTACCCAGGCCCAGTCTTCAAATCCCAAACAGAAAATGCCAGACTTTAAAAATATCAATCCTAAATTACACGTATCTCCTAAAATTAGTCCTGAATTAATAAAACCAACTAAACAAATTGCACTCAATGGTAGAGACATTAGAGAAAGTGAAGTAGGCAAGTCGTTTGAAGATGAAGCAAAAAAACTGAAAAATGGTATTGATAAAACACAAGATGAAACAAAGAAACTAAAGAATGGTTCTGACAAAACACACGATGCTCCTAAACGATTTTCATATAATACAGGTCAAAGGGAATGCACTGTTTTTGTGACCCAAATTGACAAGCGGAACTGCGTTTGGGTGCGGGATAAGGCTAACGATGAAATTCTTGAGTCAATCCACGCTAAAATAAATGAAGAGGTAAAGTACCAAAAGGTGGCGTCAAAGCCGTGGAAAAAAGAAAAAGTGTACATGGCTGAGGATGAGGGTTGTTGGTTTGTGGGATTGTTTTGTAATAAGACTTGTTATTTAATGAAGTTACTGTTAATTTTAGGTTTAGATGTAAAATCGTCAGGATGTCTCCATTGACTGTTTTCTTTCTGGATTATGGAAACATTGCAGAGGTGGACGAAATTATGGAAGTTTCAGAAGATTTAGCAAAAATTCCTTGCTTGGCAGTACGCATTACATTTAAAGAAGCGGAATATATGCCAGTTCTAGAAGACGAAATACGAATAAATTTTTTTTACCACAACAGTGATGGAACTTACTTTGTCAATGTTTTAAATTCATTAAAAGCAACAACTGATCGCAATGATCAAACTAGACATTCTCTCGTTGCAAATGAAGTGAAAAAAGACGTTAAGGAACCTTCAAAAATCTGTAAGTCCGATCAAAAAATTAATGAAGTTTTCTTCAAAAAGCCTCCACTTTTCTGTGAAATCAGTGAAGGACAACTGGTTGCAATCGTGCAAGTGAACGAAGAAATTTTTTATTTAAGAACTAAAGAATGTTTTACTAAGTTAAAAGATGTAGAAGCAAAGATAGAAGAGTATTCTAAAAATGCTAAAAGCGTTGTAAATGTTAAGCTCAATCAAGTTGTGTTGCATTATAATAACAAAACTAATAAATTTAATCGAGTTGTAGTATTAAAAGTTAGTAACGATGTTGTTGAGGTTGAAGCTTTAGATTATCCAGAACGATTTACAACAGATTTGAAAAATCTAAAACTGATCAACGAACAACTGAGCAAAGAGCCTATCACTTGTTTTCCTGCAGGACGCTTAACAGGATTTGAAAACAAACAACTCGGTGATAACTGCAAAGAAATCATAACTAAACACATCAAGACAAGAACAAAATTTCGGGTGGTAATTATTTTACTACATATTTAGGGGTAATGTTTCAACTTTTATTTTAGGTGTTAGGTTTTGATGACGAATTTGATTTATTTGACGGCAGTCAACTGCTTTCAGATCAGTTATTAACAGGACCAGAAGGTTCCAAGAAAATTTATCTTAAAGACGTAACACTATATAAACCTGAAATTGGGGTCAATTCGTATCTATGTGGTTATTACAAAAGCAGCGACAATTTTGCGATTGTACCAAGCAAGGAATTGCAAGAACACATTGACTACGTTTTGAGATCTGAAATCGAAGATAGTGTTCCGTACATTGCTGTTGAGAACGAAGTATGCTTGTGTTATTTTGTTGGTAAGGGTTGTTTGTTTACAGCAAGGAAGACTACCGAAATCGGGCTTTTTAGATCAGTGGTACAGATGTGCTGTTATAAGGATATTTGATAAGGAATGTGAAGTTATGCTACTCGATTTTGGTAATGTTGAACTAATAAGAAAAGAAAATTTGAGGAAACCTGACGATCACATTATGAAAGTGCCAGCTTTAGCTTTACCATGTAAACTAATTGGTAATTTAGGGCAAAAGGAGGGAATTATAGAAACTAACAGAAACTTTTAGGTCTGCCAAGTCATCAAAATATTGAAGCAGCTTTAAAAAAAATTGTTCTTGAGGGAGAACTCTACAACGTTGATGTTAAAAAAATTACGGAGGGGAAATGCCACGTGAAACTACCTGAAGTATATGCAGCTTTGAAAGACTAGTTTTAATTTAGTAGAGCTTGTTCCAAATCTGGTGGCGAATTGACGTTATCAAAAATGACTGAATTTTGACACTAAACATATATTTACTATTAAAACAAATATTGTTCATAGACGTCGTATGAAATAATATTTCAAAACCACTGTTATTCTTTAAAAAATTATAATAAGTAGCTACTCATACATAAGATGAAGAATGATGAACAAATTATTAAATTGTTAATGCATAAAAAGAATTTTTAAGAATGATGTTCCTAATAATTCGTGTCTTCAAAATTTTTAAAGAAAAAAAAAGTACGCCCATGCATTTTTTTTTATCTTAACCAAGTGGGCGCACACCAAGTGTCTTTTCCGTCACTGTCAGTTCGCCATCAGATATGGAATAAGTGCTTGTATACTGTTTTTTTTTTATTAACTGAAAAATTCACAATTCTTTAAAAATTGTGTTTTTAATTTGATTTTTTTTATTACAATTTTTATTATGTATTTTTGCAGCTAAAATCGAATAAAAGTACTAGAATAACTTTTCATTGTTTTTTTTTTTTGTTTATTAAAATGTGAAGAAAAAAGTTTCAAAAATGGCGGGTAATTCGTTTGTTGTGATTGGTTCTCTTCGATTGTTATCACGTGCTCCAAACAAATGCTTTTTTAAAGGTGTTCTGATTGGTCAAATTGAATTAAACAAGAAAGGAGGGCGTGATAAGAGTAAGATGCAATATCTTCTTCTTGTTCTGTTCGGTTGTTAAATTTACTTAAATTCTTTTTTCACAGAAAGCTAAACCACGTGTGACGCGCTTTGAAAAATTATGGCTCAAAATTATAGGTAAGTGAAACCTAAAAACTAATATTTTAACCACATAACCTCATTTTTGTCGATTTTGTCTTTAGTCCCGATACGGGATATGTAAATATTCACGGACAAGACATTAAAGTTTTCGTTTGCGACAAAACGGGGAGAATTCTCATTCCTATTGATGAAGTAAAGGATATGGGATTTAGGATTTATAAAAGGAATCAGTTCTCTAGATTTATCGTTGACGACAAGTAAGATTTACTTACACTTTATTGAGCTGAGTTGTTTTATAATTTACAATTTTAGGCAATTTAATCGCGAATTTGATTTGTTTATGTTGCAAGCGGCTCAAACTTACATGTTAGAAAAGAAAATTGCATTCGATGAAAATGTCGTATTAGAGAGCATTCAGAAGTAAGTAGTTTTTGTTTTGCGCATTTTCTAATCAAATGTGAACAGATGCAAGAAAATTTTAACCCAGGAAGCTCCTGCCAACAATTTTGTTCACAATCATGTGATTAAGAAGAATTCCGATGATAACATAACAATCACAACGAATGTGCAGTCACCTACTTTACAGAACGTACAATTGCAAAATAATAATCAACATAATTTTTCTAATAAAAGACGTAGTCCTGCGTCTTCAGTTCATTCTTTTGATGGGAGACAAAATTCTTCAGAATATAAGAAAAACTCACACAATGTAAACCATAATCAAGAAAATCTAAATCTAAATACTTCGTTTGAACTTAGAAAACCAAGAAGTATTATTAATGGAGATGGATCACCACAATCTACCAATGGTCAAGATGATAAGAAGAGGCGTAATTTTCAAAATTTGCCCAAGCTCTCTAATATTGTGTTAAATAACTCTAACCATACAGTAACTTAAATTTAGTTTTTTTAAGAACAGTTTATAATATTGTTTTGTAGATATTGGTAACACATGTAGAAGCAGGTGTGAATAATATCTTCTGGGGCCAAAACACCGAAAATAGCGATACTCTTCTTGAGATCGATGCTAAAGTTAAGGAAGAGGTTGCGAAAAATAAGCAAATGATTTGCAGTGATTTCATTCTCAATAAAGTCTACTTGGCACAAGATGAAGGGTTATGGTAAGATTATATTTCAATTTATGAGTCTGAGAGTACGGGAAGTTTTCTAGGGCTAGATGCAAGGTGATCAAATTTAGGCCTCTGAAAGTTTTCTTTTTGGATTATGGCAATATTGCTGATGTTAACGAAGTTAAAGAGGCATCAGAAGAATTAGGAAAATATCCTTGCCAGTGTGTAAAACTGAAACTAGAGGATTCTACTATCAAACCAAATGTTTATGACACTCTCAGTATTAAAGTAAAGGAAAAGGTAAATTTACAGTAGCTATCTATCATCATATTGTTTTTTTTTTTTTAATGTAAAATTATTTTACTATTGTAGCAAGAAAACACTTACATTGTCACTATCTCAGACACAGAAGAAACTTATTTTTTAAAACCACCACCTTTGTGTCAGCTACAGCATGGCCAGAGGGTTATAATTGTTTCCCAAAGTGATGGAAAATTGGCTCTCAGGACTAGAGAATGCCTTGAAAAGTTCAAACAAGTGGAAGAAGCTCTTAAAGAAGTGACTCCTAAACCTGTGAGCAGTGTTAAGAAAGATCAACTTGTTTTATTATATCGAAACAGTGATTTACAAAGAGGAATTGTTACAAATATTCAGGAGAATAAAGTGGAACTTGAGTTACTAGATTACTATGAGAAAGTTAAGGCCGATTTATCTTCTTTACGCAATATTGCTGAATCTCTAGCTAAAGAACCAGTTACATATCTCGTCACACCATCTGTAAAGGGGCTCTCGGAAAAATCTGCTGAGATTATCCAAAAACTGATTGAATCTCGAGCCAAGTCTACTGTTGTAAGTATTGAATTTTTTCGTGAAACATGGTAACTGACATGAGATCACTTTTTAAGGTTTTAAATGGGGGCGAATTTGACCTACAATTTGGAAAAGAGTTGTTGTCTGAAAGACTGAAACCACAACTTGAAGAATCTGACCCAAAGCGAACAATGTTAAAAGACATGACTCGGTTCAAGCCTAGATTAGGTGGAAGTGAATACCTTCTGAACAATTTTAGAAACAAAGACAACATTACCATCGGTTGCGTTGATGCCATTGAGACTCATGTGGAACACATCATCAAAACAGAATTGGATGATACTGAACCATACGAACCCATCACAGGAGAGATTTGTTTTGGTTCATACATTGGAAATTGGTCCAGATGCGTAATCAACCGCAAAATGAATTCGCGATACGAGGTTGAGTTCATCGATTTTGGAAATGTGGAAATTCTCAAAGGGGATCAGTTGAGAAAATTAACTGACGATGTTAAGGATACTCCGGTTTTAGGCATTTCATGCCGTCTGATTGGTTGGTTAATTAATGTTTATGTATTTTTTTAATTGGTTTTTATAGGTTTACCAACTCTAAAAAACGTGGATGAGTTATTAAAAGAAATCATTAAAGAAGGGGAATCTTACGAAGTGAACCTGATACGATTGAATGGTGACCAATATGAAATTGAAATTCCTGCTCTCATCAAGGCTTTGAAAGAATGTGTTTAATTTTAATGTTTCTTGTTTTTGTTTACTCAGTTTTTTAAATGATGATTCTTAGTTTGTGTTTAATGATGATCCTTAGTTTGTGTAATTTTGATGGGACTTGCTCTTAAGTTTACTTTAAGAAATAAATTTTTACTTACATGCAATTCATAGTTTATCATTTTTAACATCTGACAGTTTTTTATTTTTGAAATGTTTGTCTTCGCCAAAAGTTTCAAACAACTCTATCGTTTGTTTTTCCGACTTTTCTTAGGATTTTCTTTGCTCAACATTTTATTGTCTTCGCCACGTTAGGTTTTGTTTTGCGTTGTAATTTTTAAATAAAATAATTTTTTTAGTTATAAAAATCAGAATTTGGATTTTTGTTCTTTGTTTTATGTGGTTTTTAGGTCGTTCACCGCTGGGCAGTTTCCTATAATATGCGCGTTTGTATAGGTCGCCGTCAGGTGTCGTCGCGATCGACAAGAGAAGCTGAGTGACAAAATGGCAATGGAATGTTGGTGTAAGAACCCGACTTTATGATGTGTTTTCGTTAAATTTCCAAGATAATTGTGGTGTTGTTGAATGTAATATGTTTAGTAAACATAATTTAACATAATGTGCATTGTGGGGCTCGATGTGTGAGTGCTTTTCGGCCGGGTTTATCATGTTTCTTTTCCAATTATGAACCATATACTTTTAACAATAGGTAAGCCATGTCTTATCAATCACCTTTGTATATTTTTTATGAATTGTAATTTGATTTATTGATCAATTGCTGTTGAATTATTTAACGTCGCCACCGAACCGCCCACGAGGAGGCTCAGTTGGTCCGTTTAAGTCTTTGGGCAAATCTTTGGTTGGAAGTTGGCAAAAATCCGCTGGGTTTATTAATTTATCCCGATTTGAGTTAATTTGGTAGTGGAAAAGGCGTGCCGAAATTCTAATTGATATCCGGTCATTTAACGCTTTTCCGACTTATTTACGATTCGTGATAATGCCAATAATCAATTTTCATTTTAATCTCTTCCATTGTAATCGAATTTTTCGGCTCGTATTTCATTCATGTCCCATGCAATCACGGTATTTCCGTCGCGTCCCGATTTTTTACACCTCGGACCTTCTTACCATATCTTCGACCATTTACGTTGCCATCCTAATCGAATTGTCTTATTTACAAACCGACTCATTTTATTAACCATCATCTGCACGTTGTGTTAATTAGCAACGCTGACAGTTCTTCATTAACATCCAACATAAGGTATTTATGTTTTTTCTAAAACTATTTTACTGCTTCAATTCCGTTGGACGCTAATTAAAACAACAGCGTGTGATAAATAAACCAACGAAAAAATGCAATTCACCGAGACTTGTTCTTGCACATTTTTCCACCTTCCATTCTATTCAGACTCAACCAGTAACACAATCAGCTGAGAATCGTTTTTACTCAAAACGCGAAAATAAATACGACGTTCATAATTCTATTTTTCTACTGTTTTTGCACGAAATGTGATGGAATTCTGTGCATTCGTGGTGTGGACACGATGACCCCGACGGCATTTACTCCTTCACGGTGCATATTTTTTACGAACCACGGGAAATTTCGCTAACAACACCTTCACCGAAAGTGTCTTATTTTGAGGCGACTCTCTGGTGCCGCATGGATTAACTTTTTATTAGGTGGGCTTTGCCGAGGATAGCTTCAAATGTCCAGACACCAGACCTAATAAGTAACAGCAACATGTAATCCTCGGATAGGATTTTAATGTGTAAATGGTTCCTTTTATTCTCTTTGTTTTGTCCGTTATGACAGTGACAAGAGTTCAGCCTCAGAAACATCCAGTCATGCTAACATGAATCGTTAAAGTTGACATCAAATAGACAAAAACGAAGATACATTACATTAGGATATTAAATTTTAGTGACCAATCACTCAGATTTGACACTGATATGGAAAGAAATGTACAGCTGTCTCCAAATAAAGGTGCAAGAGAAGAGGGCCAGAATTTTTTCTAAGCAAAATAATAATAGAAAAGTGATTACATAAATATTTTAAATCAATTATTTTGAACAGAAAACACAAGATAATAAATTTGTAATTTTTTAATCTGCTTTAGAGGCCTTCTGCATGCCTATAAATGATAATTAAGAACGAATTTTAAACTTATTCAAGGTTTTAAAATTGTTGCTAGAAGGTATTAACTCAAAAAAATATAGTACAAGTTATAAATTATACTTTGTGGTGTACATTTACGAGTATGAGATTATTTTTCAATTATGAACTTTATTATTAAAGTGAAAACATTTTTTTTTTAACTTTTACAGATGTTCACCGTTTTTTGTTCCTGTTTTGCAGCAGATGTGAAGAGAAATAGTCCTCCCTTTCACTTATTTTTACCTTATTAATTTTAATTACCAATGTTATGTAATTTTCGATTAATTTTTTAACTTTAACAATGTTTCAAGTTGGTTGCTACAATTTTGAAAAATAACTGGTCTTTTTTAAAATTCGACGTCGCAGTTGGCCGTGACAAGCTCGTTGTGAACACACCATGAACAAACATAAACAAAGCAAAATAACATTACAATTACAATTTTAGTAGTGTGCACAAAGTTAACAATCTTCATAATCTTAATCTTGGTAATCTCGGTGGGTTCGTTCACAACTAATTTTGCAATGCCAACTTCGACGTCGAATTTTAAAAAAGACCTGACATTAATAAGAGCATGTTTTTCTAATTATCTTTAATAAATTGATCGGATCGTTATTTGAAACATATACAGGTGCGCCAGAACTCGCGCCCCAGAGAAAATTTTCAAGTAAAGTGAGATACCAGGAACATGAAATAAATGTTTAAAAAATTCTGTCAACAAATTTTGACATTTGACATTTTTTTAGATCTATTTAATGATACTGATGATCTTGTATATGTTCTTTTACAATTATTTAGTAAAGGGACAAAAATTTTGCCAATAAAAACCACAAATAACATTGAACAGAGTTACAATTTAGGATACAGCTTCCTGGTTTCCTCTTTTAATAGCCTATAGCAAAAAAACTTGGAAAATTATTTTTCCAACAGAAATAAATAGAGTCAAAGTGCAAAATTTAAACCCTCATAACTTCGAAATTTTTATAGATAAAATTTTTTTAACAGTTTTTCCATGTTCCTGGTATCTTACCTTATTTTTCTCTGGGGCGCGAGTTCTGGCGCAGCCTGTATAGCTACAAATAAATGCATTTTGTACCATATAATTATATCTGTTTAATTTTATGAGCAATTTTATGCATAATAAATTAATTATTAATTACATTTTGCAATTCAATTTTTTATTTTTTGAGTGCTAAAAGTATTATTGCATGCAACACTTGGAAAAGCAGGTCATCACATTAGTCTAGAGTTACCAGGACTCATCCTCGTCTCGTACAATTTTCTTATTTTCAAGGTAATTGTCTCGGTCTTGGCGACAGCTTAGAGAATTTTTGCTATGTATGTCTAATTGGAAATGAATGAATAATGATAAGAATTTTGCATTATAAAAGAGGAAGAAAATAACGATGGAGATTATAAAGTGAAACGTGTTTTTATTTTGATGGCACGATATCGGAAATTTAGCACTTTCAGTCTTTGGGTGTAGTTTTTTCTTCCATTATTAAGTACTTTCTTTATGCATATGTGAGCTCGTGTTACAAGGAGTGTATCAACACACGTGCACACAACGGGAGTGGTGTGAATCTCATCAAATAAAGTTCATTAAAATTTTTTGCAACATTCCGTGAAACATAATTATTGCGCTTATCGTAAGCGCATAAATGGTGTCTTGGTCGTAAATATGGTATTTTCAGTCGGTGGAAGTACTTAATTAAGAACCATTAAATGGTTAGTTAATTTCGTTTTTAAACGCAATCTGGAAATGAGGAAGTCGTTGGTATTACACGACGATAATTTCCAAATGCCCGTAATGAATGTGATAGACTATTTCGCAATAATTTTAATAATCTCGTTATTCACATCCTTTGCACCAGGACGCAAATTCATTTTTTCCACCGTTGATAAATTCGATCGGCTTGTGGGAACGTCGTCTACATATTTTAAACGAATTATTCCATTGTAAATAAAATTACACGTTTCGTCATGAAAAAGATCTATTGTTGTTAAAATTCCATGACCGGAGAGGATGAATTCCGACCTCGCCAATACCAAATCCAAATTAGTAACGTTCCGTTCGCCATCTGGATGGCCCAATTAATATGTTTCGTTAACAAAATTTTTCGAACGGAGACCCCGTAGGTCACAGCTCGTGGACCAATCCTGTTTACTTGTTATCGAAAAATTTGAATGGATCCTCGATGAAATGCGCGATTTTGAATTCCACAAATGAAACTCGTTTGTTCAAAACGGCGAAGTCACTTCCGCGCCACGACAATCAACATCAAAAATCGGCTCGATAATTTTTCCCCGTTCAACTCACGAAACTAGACCACAGCGTGCCTCTTATCCGTGAATCTTTATTTCAGTTTTCCCGAACGCGTTTTGTTTCGATTCAAGAATGACAGACCACATTTTCTTATTATCTGGTAAAAAAACTTGATTTCCCAATTCGTTATGTTTGCTGCTTTTCACAATGTTTTACAATTAAATAAAAATTAATCACATAACTGTCTTTGAACGAAAAATTTTGATATCTAACCACTTACAAGGTATTCTAACTAGAAGTTGATTTGAATGAGCAGAATTATAAAAACTAATTGTGGAATTGATTAATACTTGTAACATTTACATTTAATTAAGGAAAGGATAATGGACAACTTCTGTCTAGATGCGGTTTTCGTTCTTTTTTTTTAATTGTGTTTAATAGGGTACAAATAATTTTGAAACTAATAGATACTGCTTGAGAAAATTTTAGTCAAACATCCTGCATTTTTTCTTGTTACATTTTTTTACTTTTTGGGTAAATGGTTAAAAAAATATAGTGTTTTTCTTTTGGTTTTCCTCTTTTGTCAAATGTAATCCACTATTTCTCAAAACTATTTCATTTGATATATTAATGTCAAAGCGACGTATTTGGTAAATAGTTTTGAGAAATAGTGAAATACATTTGACAAATGAGGAAAACCAAAAACACTGTAATAATTTTAATTAACTTTAAAAGGAATTGATATTTTGTTTTAATTTAATAAACTTGTTTTAAAGAGATTATTGTTGTAAGTTGAGAAAATAATCAAAAAGTTATTTAAGAAAGAAGACGTCTGGCTTAATATTTTACTCGTATATTCTTTTTAATTGAATAACGTTTTTAAGTTATTAAGCCTTTCCGTCATAAAAAGGACATTGTGGAAAGTATTCCTTGGTATAAAAACTTTTATAAGTTACACTTGTCGCTATAATTAACAAAATAATGGATGTTACATATCAACTAACAATGGTCTAAAACAAGAACTTTTAAGTCTATATGAAAAATAGTTTTCTCTTTGTGATCTTGTTATCTGGCGTAGGTATAATTTATCGTGTCATTTGACCCGCAGTCATTTCTGTCGCTCGGGGTGTTCACTCTCCTCCGTAATGTCGCAAAATTGCATTCGCAGTGGTCAGTTGAAGACGGTGAAGCTCTTCATTTGTTAAAGTAATTATTTAACGGTGTGATGATATCGCATATCGATGCGGTGTTCACTTAATTGAACTTTTTTCGCGTTTTATTTGTTTTCGTAGTGAACGGCCACTTGTAGTAGAAATTGGCGACTTGTCAGGTGTCAGCTCGAGTGATGCTTCACCTAATTTTTTTTTTCGATTTGTATATTATAATAAAAAGCAGGCAAGTTAATAGAGATGAAGTTAACGCGTGGCCTCATCATCACCATGACGACCGTCCAAATCCTGCAGAACAGCGATCACTTTTAACAAAATGAATAGAGGAGTTCGCCAGGTCCACTTTTCAGCGTCCGCCTCGAATGGCCGGAGAACATCATTTCGGTAATTTTCAGAGTAGACCGCAAGGATTTTGTCGTGTAATGTAATCAGCTCGAGACATACTGTCTTGGAAAATGATCTTGAGATAACGCAGTGTAAACAAATAGAATGTGATCGTCGGAATAGGGGATAATTGAACCAAAGGAAGTGTTTTCAACAACGTCTAATAATGTGAAAGAGTAAAGGTTTTCACATCGTTTTTAAAACTCGCGAATAAGTTCATGAAGGATTCCGAGATTTAAAAGACATTTAAGATGTTCTTACTTTGTTCCCGAGCAACTGAGAGACTGCTCATTGCTCTAAAATGATAAATGAACGGCGGAAAGCTTTATTATTGATCTTCAGGTTACAACTAAATTTACAAAATTTAATCCAAGTCCCTTCAAGGTTTTTCGATTCTTAAATTTGCCTTCAGTTTTCTGCAAATGATTAATTTTGTTGTGCTTTTTACTGTCGTAATTTTTTCCCAAGGATCATATGATTTCTACGAATACTATAATACACATACAGAAAGTTTTTTATTCTCAATTAAATAGTTGCATTAAAATCCAGTTAAAGTTGCAATACAATGGTGGTTAATTAATTAATTAGTGTAAGCACGTCTGCTATTGAGTATTGTATGTTCAAAGTGGAAATAATAGACAGTAAAAGTATAGTGTCTTCATGAGTTTTAAGGACAATTACTACGCTTCACTATGGTTATTTTGTCTTGTTTCATTATACGGTATTTAAATTGCATCTGTGAAGTCACTGTTTTTTTTTTTTTTGTAATTATGTTATTTTCTTTTAGATAATAAAATCTAGTGCATCTTTCACAATGTTTTTTACAGAATATGATTTATACCTAAATAATTTCAGCAATATTACCGTAATATAAAATTTATTGTTTCAATAAAAAAATCATTACTGTGCACAAAAACAAAAATAATTTTTATTCATTCGGTGAATGAATAGCTAGAATTCATATTTTTGACAAATTTTCCATCAAAACAACTTTGAAAAATGGTATAACTGATCGAAGTGACGTATTGCAGTCTACTAGGCATTAATATGAAGTTTAACCAATTATATTGAACAGATTTATAGTAGCATGAAAGTATTGAAACATTTGTTCTATGTGAAAATTTAAAAGCGGAAAATAATCTTGTGAATTTATGACATTTCTTCCCTTTCACATTACTGTTAGTGTTTCAACCAAATAATTACATTTTACATCATTTGTGCCAACAGCTTTAAAGTCATTCCTCATACTATTTTCGCTATGAACTTGTGGAAAAGGAGACAAGCATTCCATATGTATTTTCTAAACATTAATTTATGTTTTAAAGGCTTTTTTATAAAATTTTTATGAATGGTTTTGGTATAAGTTAGTTTCAGATATATATTTTTTGTAAGAAATTTTAGTAATTCATTTAAAGAAAAATTTCAACGTCTTTTGCAATCTAATAATATAGTTGAACAAGTTGAATTTCATAACGAATCAATTTTCTAAATAAGTGGTAGGAAAATACGTTCAGATAGTGCATTTTCTCAATACCTCGAACGTTGGTTCCTCCCCTACTTGTATGTTTCAATTACTAATGACAGGGGAGGGTGCATTTGACAATTTTACGTTTCGTACATGCCTGACACTGAAACAACATAATTACAATTATAACGTAAGTGGTGAAACTCGTAATCAATTTCCTGCCATCACTTCGTTAAAGAAGGGGTGAATTTTTAAAGACACGAAGGAATTTTCTTCAAACAACAAAAGTCAATAATAATTACACAACAGTTTACGCTTCACAGTAATGAAACTAATAACACTTCGATTACGGATCGTAAATTTTTCTTGATGCATATAACGGGTAGTCGAGTAAATGAAATAATAGTGTTTGAATTTTTGTTAATGGTAGACTGTTTTAGATTGACGCTGGAGGAGACATGTAAATCGTTTTTTCATCCGTCTCTGAAGAAGAGGAAGGCATCACGATGGTCTGGCAACCGAGCAGTGTCCTTGTCAACGGCCTGATCCTGTTAACGTTCAGCCTACACAGTTTTGTCACGGCAACGAACCCCAGCAGCGCCAAGTTCTACACCATCCACTGGAACTCTTCAAATCCGATTTTTCGCATCGACAACACCGACAACGTGATCGACGTGAACCGCTACAACCTGAAGTTTGAGTACGACCAGGTGAACCTCATCTGCCCCGTGTACGTACCGGGAACCCGTGACGAAGAGATGGAGAAGTACATCATTTACAACGTGTCGAAGGACGAGTACGACACGTGTCGCATAACGAACCCCAATCCGCGCATCATAGCCGTCTGTGACAAACCATATAAGTTAATGTACTTCACCATAACGTTCCGGCCGTTCACGCCGCAGCCAGGGGGGCTGGAGTTCCTTCCCGGCCACGACTACTACTTCATTTCGACGTCGACCAGCGACGACCTGCACCGGCGAATAGGCGGCCGGTGCACGACGCACAACATGAAGATCGTGTTCAAGGTGTGGGGCCCCGCGCAGACGTCGCCACCGCCCGCGCCCGTCACCGTCTCGCGGTGGTGGCCCGTCACGTCGCCACGCACCACCTCAACGAGCTCGACGACGACGACAACGAGCACGCCGCCGCCGGTCACGACGACGAAGAAGTCCAAGACGTACGGTGGCAAGCACCCCAACGAGGTCGGAAAGAGCGAGGAACTCACGCTCGGCGGCGGGGCCGCCGCTGGGCCAGTGCAGGTGCTTGTGGTGTGTGCGGTCGCGGTGCTTTTCGCGATGCGATGAAATTTTTCACGGTACTAAGTAGTTAAGATGATTAAATAATAAAGAACGTTACGTGTCCCTTTGTGTGTAATGTACTGTACTCACGAGTTATTTTTAAAGAGAAAAAACGACCTAAAACTATCCTAATTTTATATAAATATTGGTAACTATTAGGCGATTCAGGTAAATTATTGTTCCCACTTCTCATTTCGATCGTCGGTTTTTAGATGCAAACCAGTCCTCGGATTTATTATTGTGTATATTTTAGTAACGAAACCGACGACTGAAACCTGACAATATAATTTTTTATTCGATTATTCATTATATTTAAATATGAATTGGTGGTGTACAGTTTTTTATATGTTGGTGTAGACACTGAAGATAATAAAATAAGAAAAATAATTTAATGCGCAAGCGCATTGTGACCAATTCAACGGACTAAACAAAAAATGTGTAAATGTTATATTTTTCGGTCAGTTGATTATTTCGTAGATTATAAACAGTGTTGAACATTTCAAATAACGGCGTATTTGTATAACTGTGAAGACTGATAATAGTTTTTATTGTGTTATATATAAAGTATTAATATCCTTAATAGTATATAATCCTGGCGTTTTTAGTCGACACTTCACTCATACTCCATGTACTTATTAAACGCGGTGACAGTTTTGTTTTGCAGTAATGGTTGTGATTGTTTACCCTTTTATAGTGCCAGTTTACAAATTAGACTAATGCAGACTTTTACTTTATTTATTAATTTATTTATTTTCTATCTATTTATACATCACGGTAGCTTTGTAGATAGTAAATTATTTTGCCCTAAAAACTAAACAGGGTCTTGAATTAAAACACTGTTTGGTTCCTTCTTATTCTTCAGTATGCGCGGTTAAAATTACATTTTGGATAAGATTTATTAATGTCAATTATCCTGAAGCGACGATATATTGTGCAATATGAGCTTTCAATAATACTCATCAAGTCTCTCTATTACATTGTCCATTTTTCTGATCTTGCCATTTGAAAGTAGTAACCAGTTTTTAAGGCTTTAATCGAACAATACTCCATCGCACTAAAAACGCCAGATGGAACATGATTTGTGTCTAGAAAAGTAGTTTTACGATATTGTAATCAGATGTACTTTTAATTGCAAGCCATAGTGATAAATATTTAACTTATGAAGAACGAAAATGAATCTATAGCAATGATACCAACTGATCCTTAGTTAATTTAAGTTTTTAACATATTTATTGGGTGATGTTTAGTAATTTCTGCAAACACATAAACATATAACTGTCGGTTTTTAACGACTCCATATTTTTCCTTAAAACTATTTTATTGAAATGCTCTGTATATATTTGTAATTGGTTTTAACAAACGAAACTTGTGTTACATTTTAATAGGTAAACACACTGTATGTATTACGATTGTAAAATGCACTCACTATATATACATAATTATATAAATATACATACATGCCATTTTCGCCAGGTTTTTATTTGTCGAAACATGTAGAATAATGCGTCACATATTCTCTCCTAACTGTAAAAATTTTAAAATACTTGACTGAATTTTTAGTTAATTGTTGGTTCTAACTTTGTCAACAGCTGCATTTATTTTTAGTTCATCACTAAACATCCAATAAGTTATTATTATTTATTTTATTCAAAATTCATTACTCTTTATTTCGAAATTTACCATGAAATTGATGCATTTGTAGAATTTTTAGAAATCAAACAGTAATTTAAACAAAAACACGGCGAATCAAATTAATTTCCAATAACGTTTCAAATGAAACAGTTTAATTTCATGTTTTACGAATAAAATAAAACTATAATGCATTTCATTACAAGTGTTTTACACATTCTTATTAGTATTTACGATAAATGCCAATTTAAATTTTTATTTCAAAGGAGTTGATTTCCTCTAATGGTAGTTGTAAAGAAATCGTAAAAAGTTATAAGATAAGTCTCAAATTTTTACCCTAATAGAGGTTTATGTCGCAACAACTTTCTTTTGAAATTTTGTAGGTATAAAAAAGTTTTATTATCTTACTTTTTGTAGAATGAAAATTTAACGATCTTAAAATGAAAAAAATGGTCTTTGTTTTACTACCAACAGTATTTCACGTTTATTGAATTATTTAATTATAAGTGTTACTGTGTTGTAAGGGATTTTTACTCTTTACAAACATTGGTTAAAAAATAGATGTGATTTTATCTATTGTATATGTTATACAATGTTATCAATATTGTTTTTTTATACCTAGAGAAATTTCATACTTCATGTTTTGCAAAATTTTTACTTTCTTCGCACACATCTTCCAAATCATTGAAATTTAAGCTCATTTAAATGAGCTTCAGGCCTTTAGGGGGACCCTCTAAAAAATCGTTTATAATTTTTTTTGGCCTTTCGTTCATGATCGGTGGTTTTCGTGGAATCTTTGGCGGTTATTTCCAATGCGCAAGCGCAAACGATGCAAAGTTCTCCATTTTCTCCATCTTCGCCATTCGTGTTTTGCATCCGTTGTTGCTGTTTAATAACGAAATTTTCTAAAAGAAAAACCGCAAAATCTCCAACAAAAACGTTTACCACTAACCGTATCTCGAATTTAAGATGAGTTCTGAAAACGAAAGTGTTTCTCCTCCAATGAACATCGAAAAGTACTCTCTTGTGCTTGTGGACGTTGCCGGCACAACCACTTCCATCAACTTCGTAAAGGTGAGTAAAAATTTGCAGTTTACAAATTTTTCAAACATTGTGTGAAAATATTAAGTTCGACGCTAATTTTATTTATTCGACTTAATTGTAAATATTTTTCAATGGAAAAGGCATGTGCTGCAACTAAAACTAGCGTTTTTTTATTTTTCTTAATTAAGAATTGAAATTTTTGGCGTGCTGGTGTTTGCTATTGTCCAAGTTTTCGATTTTTGCACGTGTTTTCGTTTCAAACTAGCCGGTTGTCCTTGGTTCAGGTAAAAATGTATCCCTTGTTCCATGCCTGGTGCATTCACATCTATAGTACAGTTTGGTCAAAATACCACGACACGGTTAAACTACCACTATTTAAAAGTCACATGCAACATTTCATGCACAAATCTAATACTTTGTGTTTCTTTAGGATACACTATTTCCTTTTGTCACCAAACAAGCTGAACCTTTTCTTCAAAAAAAATGGGAAGAAGAATCTATTAAAGATTGTATCAAATTAATCCAAGAAGGAGATGCCAATTTGGATCTGGCAGCCGCAGTAGAACGTGTCAAAGCCTTGACCCAAGAAGATAGCTCCAATAAAGGTCTGAAAACGCTTCAAGGGTTAATCTATAAAGATGGTTATGAAAAAGGTGAACTTAAAGCACAGTAAGTGTGATAACAGTTGTTATAAATTTAGTTTAAATCTCATGTTTACAGCGTTTTTGATGATGTTCCTGAAGCTTTTGAAACTTGGGCCAAAAATCGACGCATTGCTGTCTACTCTACTGGAAGCGTGGATTCACAGAAGTTGCTTTTTAGTAACACAGTTAAAGGAGATCTTTCTGCACATATTTCTAAATATTTTGACCAATCTGTAGGACCCAAGACTGAAGCTGAAAGTTACAAGACTATAGCGAAAGAAACTGGAGCTAAACCTGAAGAAATCGTCTTTATTACTGACGATCCTAAAGGTTGTTTTTTGCTTTTTTTAGATGTATTAATGATTTGGATTTGTAGAAGCGACAGCTGCTAAATCTGGAGGACTGGCGACTGTCTTAATGATCAGAGAAGGCAATTCTCCTCTATCAGATGAGATTTCTAAAGAATTTACAACCGTTAATTCCTTTAAAGACTTAGAAGTTGATAAAGCTTCCAAGCGAAAAATTGAAGAGGGGCCTACATCAGAAGAGGTATAACGTGTTGTTTTCATAGTTGTTAATAAATAGTTTATTTTGAAACGTTTTTTTGTTTGGTACAGGCGCCACCTTCAAAAGTTCCTAAAACTGATGTGGAAGAAAAACCAACTGAAGAAAAAGCAGAGTCAATGGAAATTGATGCTGGAAAGTCTGAAACTACTGAAACTGCCAAAAACGAGACTGAACAACAAACGGAAAAGACTGAAAGCAAAGAAGAGACTATCGAAATCACAGAACCTGAAGAAAAAATGGAAACAGTTGTTGCAGAAGCAAAAGTAGAAGTAGCAACTGAAGAGACTAACACAACAACGGAGCAAGAAAAACCAAAAGAAACTGAAGAACCAAAAGAAACAGAACCAGACGCTAAACTTGGAGAAACTAAAGACGCAACTCAGGATTCTAAACCGGCAGAAGAGGCTAAGGTAACTGAGAAACCCGACGATACTGAGAAACCTGTAGAAGAGGCACAAGTGTCGGCAGAAACATCTATTGAAGAAACCCCTGAAAAGACTGCAGCAGACACAAGCGACACGCCTGTGGAAAACAGTGAGGGAAAAACCGAAACTGTGGAAAAAGCTGAAGAAAAGGAAAATAAGAGTGTCCTTGCCAATGGGGTTGAGAACGGAAAGGAAGAGAGTGAAACTGTTACTGATGCAGCTGAAAGCACTGAAGTCAAAGTCGATGAAGTGGTTGAAAAGATCGATGAAACTGAGGTCAAAGTGAAAAAATTAGAAGAGAGTGCTGAAAGTAAAACAGTAAGTGTGGAGGTCTAATATTAATTTTTTATTTGTTCCATATTTATACTAGATGTATTGTAATATTGTAGTATTCATTTTTTTTTCTTTTCTTCTGTTATTTATTACCAACGTTTCTCTAGATATCACATCTAAACGAATGTATTGTCGAGTATTCGTAAGTTTCTTGGTTTGTACCGTCAAAATTTCAATTTTCAAGTGCCAAAATTTTTATTGGAATTAAGACTGGACCCAAAGACTGTTTTTTTAATCTCACTTTTGTGATACTCATTTTAAGACTATTGAACAGTATTAAATTTCTGTCACTCATTATTTAGCGTTTTGTCCTTATTTTAGCTATGTAGCTCGCTTTCTTAATCACATTCCTAATGACTATATTGGTATGGTTATTTTTTAATATGAACGCATATACTTAATATACCTAGTTTTGTAAGACAATTCGTTTCCCGTGTTCCACGTTTGTTCCATTTTTATGGCTCATAAGATTGTGATATAAAAAATTCGAAAATTTTGGAATGCTACATTGCGTTTTGTTTTTCTTGTGATTTGAGTTTTAGTTAAGCAATAGTGATGGTGTACAGGCCTAATGTATAACTACAGTTCATTGTATACGTTACTTAGCATCTTAATAAAATTTTTGTAGTGTTCTATTAGGGCATTTTATTCCTTTTTAAAAATTTTCCACAACATTAATAATATCCCGATATTAACGTTAAAATTTTACGAGAAAAAAACCTTCAGAGAATTAACTCAATTATTTTCCTGCCATTTTAGTGCGTTTATTTAATTTACAGTTAGCTTCAACTAGACTTTTATCTTTTAGAGAATATTGCGTTTTATACCCCTACGAGTTATTACAAGTTCAGCTTTTTAGGTATATGAAACAATTATTTAAATACATATTTACTATACTTACATAGTATATGTACTTAATAGTAAGGGAATCTGTTTAGGACAAATTGTTTTAATTCCACAATTTACCAATCTTAAGGCGCTTTTTTATAAAAAGGAGATAGGGACTAAAATTGGTATCGTAAAAAAATCTCTTACTCAACGGTTATATTGGGTGTATTATTACGGGGAAGCCTTATGTAACGCGGCTAAGGCGCCTTGGTTGTACATGAATCGATTTTTGAACCAACAGATTTCCATTTTATTTGTAATTGCAACCACGCGACCACAGCAAATCGCATCGAAGTGGATTTTTACTTGGCCGAGTTATTGGAAGGCATGCCTTTGGACACACGGAGAGACATGAGATGGAATTCCACCACAATGTGTCCGAGTCGTTACTAAATGGTTAGACGCCAATTTTCAAGGAAAATGTTAGTTGCCAATGATCAGTTGCATGGTCGCCGTGGTTAGCAAATACAAATCCATAAGTTTTTTATGCAGTTTCACATGTGGGTATGTGTGTATAAACACAAACCTCCCTAGCACAAAGGTTTAAGCTTGCATTGAGAACTAAAAACGAAATTTTGAACACTCATTGTAACGACTCTACCCTTGGAGGGGTAGGTCAAAGTCCCTCCACGGACCCACCCTAACGAAGAGATAAATAAGTTTTTGTTTTTACACTGTTTATCTGCAGTAGTTTTTCTTTATGACTGAACGTAAATTGATACTAAAAACATAGACGGATATGGGTTTTTTTTAGTTTTACCTCAGAAATAATACGTTTGCGGAAAAATTTGGAAATAAAATGTTGGGTATTTTTACGAATTCTATTATCTGTAATCAACGCGTCTATGAGGAATTTTAAAACACTGTATTTTGTAGTTTTCGAATAACGCATTTTATTCCTTTTCAAGAAATTTCCACAACATTAATACTTCTCAAGAGACCGATATTGGCGTTAAAATTTTACGGGAAAATGGAAGATCCGTCGAAAATTAACTCAATTTCATTGCTGCCGTTTAATGCGTTCATTTAATTTGAAGTGGGTTTCGACTTTTATGGAGTGGGTAATTTTTTACAGTGATTGACTTATATTGTACAGAAAATGTGAATGATTTTAACAATTTTGATTCTCAAGTTTATTGCAAAACATTTCTCGGTGATTTTTAGATTTTCTACTAAAAAAACGAACACTGACGTTTTAAATTCCATACAATTGCGTTTATACAACTCCAGAAGTCCAAAGGATATGCTAGCAAAAAATTAAATGGTTGAAATAATATCTGAGATATTATTGTTTATTCGATATTTCATAAACGTTTTCTTTATGTACATTAATTGTACTTAATTACAAACTAAAATACCTGGCTATTAATTATAATTTTTCTAAGCTGTATTTTTTGTGAAAAGTTTTAATTATACAAGTATTTTTGTTTTTAGCCAAGTTTTATTAATTTATCCTTTCTTTGTTTTATTGATAAAATTATAAGTAAAGAGTTGTACTCGAAGTCTGAGATAAAAGTATATCGTAAACATTCTTGTATTACAGCAAAACCTTATTTCAAGATGGCTCGATTTTTTGTAACGATGTGCTTTTAAAGTGATTACCGGTTTCATAAGCGTCTACAGTTTTGTCTGAAGCTACGATTTAATTTACATTTTTATTGAATATAAGTTTTTAAACGCAACTTTCGTTTACACACTCCGGGGAAATTCCTAGTAACAAAAATATTTTAGATGTAGATATCGAGTTCAGTTTTAATAACACTCATGAAGGTGCGAATACATTAAAATTAAAAATCATTATTCATCAGTAATTTGTTTTATTAATTCCAGAAAATTACTCGAACTTATACTTTGTTTAAATTAATTTACTTTCTAGGTTTTAAAATAATAGGTTTGCATTTATTAAAGTGAAACTTTTTTCCATCGCCTCAAAATTTTTCGTCCACCTATCGCATGTCGCATTACAGCCGGCCGCGGAGTAGGGGTAAAGTGAAAAGCGCTCGGCAGAGCAGCCAAGGCCAATATGGCGGCGCCTATGGCTCGCATCAGCTGACCGTGTAGCATTTATATTCTTACTCATTCGTGCAAGTGCTCCTTGGTATTTGTGTATTTTGATCATTGTATTAATGTGTATGAAAAAAAGTTTCACTTGCATCGTGGTTTCTTTAAACCATAGCAGTTTTTTATTATTTATTTGTTTTTCGTAGGTATTGTACCTTTCTTAAATAATTATTATCCTTCGTTTTTCGTTATATGCATTAACAGCATTAATTACACAGGAAGTCTCGAAATTCGTGATCATGTTGGATTAAGTCTACAGTTATTGAGAAAAATTTTAGTTTTATTTAAAATATTCAGCGTTTTTAATAACAAAACAGAATAAGGTAGGTATAAGCTGTTTCTTTTCCTAAAAATGAGAAAACAAAATGGTAGTACACTATAAGGATTTTGTTCCAATTGATCGACCTGAGTGAAAACATGTCGAGGAAATCGCAGTTATGATCTGGAATTAATCATATTTGCTAACGATTAGTTCCTGAAACAAGACTCAACAGAAATGCGAAATTATAGTTTTGCACTGCCAACTTTAATTAGACATGCCTTACACTTATCAAAGATCTTCATTTATCTTCAGTGATTTACTTAAAATTGCGATCGCAGATTAACCAACTGCGTTCGAAAAACACGTGTTCAAGCGCAGCAAGTGGTTCGCACAAGATTCTCGCTTTAGTATTCCTCCAACAATCGCGTAAGCAAGCACAATCCAACCCCTTGATTCTATTAAAATTCCGAGATAATGTCGCTTCTGGTAAAATAACATCTTCCATCATACAATCAATAACAAAAAACTAACAACGTGATCATTTTAATTCATTTTTTAAAGTGCTCATTTGCAAATTTTCTGGAAATTTAATCAGTAATTTGAGAGGAATGTCCAATCAACTAATTGTAACAATGGTATTATTGTGGTGCGCGGGTTTAGAAGGATCACAGCAACTCTTCGATGATAATTTCCGATATTATAACATCGGGGTTTTGATGGCATCTCATTTGGATTCGCCTTTCGATCTTGAAAGATGCGGGCCTGCGGTTGATATGGCTTTAGAAGAGATCAACGACAAATTTTTAGCACAACACGGGATCAAACTCAAAAAAGTCCAAGAAAGGTAAAGTTTCTCGTCAAATTAAATAAGTTGATCAATTTACTTTCTTCAAGAAAATAAGAACAAAACCCTCGAAAAAGACATTCAAACTTTTATCGCTTCAAAGGCGACACCTCGACTATTTTCCACGTTTGCTTGAAGTTTGCAAATGTGTGTATTATCGAGATTATACATTCATCTCACACGAATGGCTTTTTTATTCAGGGAAAAAAATTGCACGGGTCGGATGGAAAATACGACACCTATTCCGAATCACGCTATTTTCTATAACAACTGAATTATTCTAAAACGTTTTACGATTTAATTAATTCGTCTGCTTTGCGATTCGGAGTGAAATTACTCGACTTTGAGTTCGTATTTTAAATAGTGAATGAGGGTTGTTAAAGATACGAAGCAGAGAACATAGAGGAATGTAAGTCTGACATCACATTTAAACGAAATAACAACTTTTTGTGGCTCTCGATGCTTTAATTAGTTATTGTATTCTCGATGGAAACTTTAGGAATTGGAAAATTATCTTTAAACACTTGTTCGAAACAAGCTTGCTTGACTGTGTTTTCAATTTACATATTCTGGTGACTTGTATGCACTAGATTTTTATACTTGCAAATTCCTCAGAGAACTTTATGGAAAATCAAAAAATTCATCTATAAATATAAATCCATTTTGCAACACAAGAAATGGATTAAATCATGACGATTGTGGTATGAATCAAAATATGTATAAAAAAAGAGAAAATATTCTCGCGCTTTACATTATCACTGTCTTGCAAATTCCCAAAGGATTGCACAAGAGACTCTAGACTTCGTCGTTTGTCATTTTCTCATCCTCTTTCACTTTACACAATACAAACACTTGCGCCGACGGGTTTTAGGACTTATTTTAGATTTTATTAAATAAATAAATGAAAATCTGAAGCGAGATTGGACTCCTAATCTGTTTTCTTTTGGAATTGACATTGGGATTTCAGATTTAGACAAAATGTTTCAGGTCGAGTGTTATTATAAGTTATACCTGTCACAAAATTACGAATTGTAAGTGATGATTTTAATCTGGAAACATCTGGACATGTGTGTACAATAAAAGGGAATAAGTTTCATATTAGTTCATATTCTAATAATTTGCGTTTGAAATAAGCTTATTATATATTATAATTAAAATCTGCAGAACTTAAAAGCCTCTTCATGTATTCATTTCAAACAAAAACCAATATGATTCACAAGCTTTCATTGAGATTACAACTTACTTGTACATATCTTGCAAAGTGTCTCAAAGGTTGATGCAGCTCATAAAGCGCGAGGATTGTTTCATCCTGAACAATATTCTGTATTTTGCAGAAATGAAATGTGCAGTGGATTAATAAAACTTTAATACAATTACATTTGCAATTGAATTAAATAACAGAAAAAATTAACTGCTGCTAATTAAAAGATGATCGAACATTTTCAAAGGAATTTAATTAACATCCTGAAGCACTTCTTGTGTTGATGTTTTGTTGATGTAGATTTGTCCGATTTCGGAAGATTCGTCTCAAACGTTGCCTGGCTTCCGTGATGAAAAAAAAAACATTCTTTGTTGTTAATGAAAATACAAAGTAAAGGTTAATTATAATGTTCTTGATTTGAACATATGTTCAACAAAATTGGTTAAGACAAGAGTTTATTGGATTTATTTCGGACTTTTTTCCGTTATCGCCAGAATAATCCGAAATTCTCTGTGTCCCTTGTTCCGTTTAGAAGCATCTGCTGGAAATGATTTTGTCTTGAATCATATTTTCCAAATCGCCGAATTGAAAATATTAATTGGAATCTATTTTTTGATTAGTTGGCTACTTATAGAATAGAAGAGATAATAGCAGTTTTTAAATTCATTGTAATGTTGATGCTTTATGTAAAGTTGGTGCTTTATCGATTTTACATGATTAGTTATATCATAATATTTATGCCGGTTCATTTTGATTTAATTAATTTAAACAACATAAATAACGTCATTAACACCTTTAAAAGCTAAAAATAGTATACCGAATTGGAGCTCACATTGTTTTCAAGTATTTTAAAATGGAGAAACAAATTCGCAGATTCTATTGTTTTCTTCATGATACTTAGGATTTGCCACCACTAAAACTGAAAATAGTAAAAGATAAGGTAATTAGTAACACAATTTGTAAATTTTAGTTGTGAGATTGTCAGACATAAAAAAGGCGTAGGGGACACCCGGGTTTGAACCGGGGACCTCTCGATCTGCAGTCGAATGCTCTACCACTGAGCTATATCCCCTATTGCTAAAGTTCTCTTCTAAGCATATTTTTGAGAACAATATGTTATAACAAAATACTAAAAGCCTTAAGTAATTTCTTAATTTATTTTAATTACAAAACTTTTAAATGTAAGTTGTTCATCGTAATAAAAAACAAATAATTTATTGTTTATAACCAATGAAGCAAAATATGGAAAAATCAGTTACAACAATCCTAATAATTGCAGTTTTTTTCAGACTCTATTTATCAGTATCTATTTCAATAGTTATTAACATCATAAAGCTGATACGCGATTGATAGTAAAATCTTGTCTGTTATTTTCGTATCAGCTGTGTGTGTGTCGTTACCTAGTACTTTTTGTGATACTAAAAAATTTGGGCAAAATTATTCCAAACCATGTCAAATAATGACAAACTTGAGGCAAATAGCCTTTCGAGTGTGTGTTACACGCGTAATAGCGTTATCACTGCCATAACAAGCATATGGAGTTATGGAGACAGTTCGGATATGATCAAATAACAATCATAAAGAATCAAGGAAAATATTAATAATATGAATAAACTACAATATGTCTTAAAACCGAAGACTGTATTTTTTTTTTTGATGATTTTGTGATTAACCAAGTTAGGGTTGCTTTTACTCACACCTCAAAACTGAATTTTTCTCGAGTACTCGAGTACAACCGTCGGACAAAATTTTATTCCAGTGATAAATATGCATTGTTGTAACAATTTTAATAATTATAAGTATACAGCAATTATACTTTTAATAATTTCTCCGGAGTTTATCCGTAGATTACACTTAGAGAAATACTTTGCAGTTATTTTTTGAAATACGAAACTATAATTAAAAGAAAAAAAACGGTATTTACAGAACTTAACATGTCAGTATCGTTTCCTTCTTTCTTGTAGATAATTTAGACATTAATGTATCGAAAAACCGAAATTCGAATTTATATAAGGTGATTTTAAAGTTTGTGCAAATAATTTATCAGGTGATAGTAGAGCTCAAAAGAAGTCAAAATATCTCAACATGCCTTTTCCGAATGTTTATAGTTTTAAAATGTATTACATTAAAAAAAAAATAGAAAATTAGTAAAAACAGGCATAAAAAGCGTCCTCACTCATATAAAAAAATGCAGCCATTTTTTTGACAATACGACCGAATTTCATTACCTCAAATGTTACCGACTATTATACCAGGTGAATAAAAAGTATGGAACCAAACGTTTTTTGCTTAAACTATTTATTTTGTGATAAAACTAATTGATGAGTGATAAAGTACTATAAAAATGTGATATTTTAACAAGAATAAAAATTTTCAAAATTTCCTTTTGTTTTTGAGTTCTACAAAAAAAAAAAAAAATTAAATGGCAACCCACTATAAAATCATTTTTCTTATAAAAGCTATACTCTAAGGATTACAACTATCTGCTTTATATTTAATTTTTTCAAAAAAAATTTTTCACATAAATTGCAATTTTGATAAAAAAATCGCATAACTCAAAAACAAAACAAAATTTCGTTCTGAAAATACGATCACGTTTTTTATATTATTTTAATTTATATTAATTATTATTTTCTGGAGGCAAATGTTTAAAAATAAAACCGCTTGGTCCCATACCTTATATTCACTCTGTATGTATAGCATTGTAAACTTTATAGGAAAAAGTACTCAAACAGATCAAACTTCGATTTATATACAGGATGCGCCAGAACTCGCGCCCCAGAGAAAAATGCCATATAAGGTAAGATACCAGGAACATGGAAAAAATGTTAAAAAAAAATTCGAAGTTATGAGGGTGTAAATTTTGCACTTTAACTCTTATTTATTTCTGTTGGAAAAATAATTTTCCAATTTTTTTTGCTATAGACTATTAAAAGAGGAAACAAAGAAGCTGTATCCTAAATTGTAACTCTGTTCAATGTTATTTGTGGCTTTTTTTGGCAAAATTTTTGTATCTTTACTAAATAATTAAAAAAAAACATATACAAGATCATCAATATCATTAAATAGACATATAGTGTACCATATTGCATTTTTTTGAAAATTTTATCGCTAATGTGGAGGTTGCACCCATTATATTCAGAAACTATAAACATTCGGATAAGGCAAGTTTAGTTATTTTGACTTCTTTTAGAAGCTCTACTATCACCTGTTAAAATATTTGCACGTACTTTAAAATCATCCGGTATATTGCATTTGATGTTACTTGGAAAAGATAATTAGTACCTACTTTCGAAAACAAGTCTAGTTGTTTTTATTACGTTCCAGAATACAGAATTAAATGTCCATCTTTCCCTTTTCAACAAACATTTACCCCATTGACATTAATCCCGGCTTTTGGGATAGGAGCAACCGCACAATTAGCAATCACCGCCATTGAATAATCCCGATGATATAAATGCACCTTTCTATCGGCCGTTTGTTTCAAATTATAGCCTGTTTCACACCCCTAACTAAAGCCACAATTTGAACTTTCCTCTGAATGCGTATCATTAGACTTTAACAAGTCGAAATTATCACCTGCGACGGTCAAGTTCACCCCTTCTCATCTTCCACAGCTACCCTTCGTGCAGTGGCGTTCGTGCCCCCGGTCTGGCTGCCGACATGCACTTCAAATCGGATGTAATTGCATTTGTGGGGCCCGCTTGTTTGTTTGCCCTTGAACCTGTTGCTCGCTTGGCGGCTTACTGGAACACTCCCATTATCACAGGAATGGGCGATCAGCCGCCCTCGGAAGGGGAACTCTCGGTAACTTCCGGAATTCTGGGCCGGTTGCAGAAGTGGAACAAGAGCGACAGTGCCGTAAGTATGAGATTAGGCCAAATTGGCCGTTTTAATGGCACTATTATTGAGATTGGATACGATCGAGTTGATTGCGTTATTTCGTGATGTTGCAGGGGATCCTGAAGGACAAAAGCAAATATCCGACGCTGACCAGGATGTCCTATTGTCAATGCAGGCTCAAGTCCGTTTTTTCAAGCATTTTTAGGCAGTTTGGGTGGAGACATATTGCGCTTATTTTAGACAGATCGGATTTGTTCTCTCTAACTGCTGGTAAGACAAAAAAATGAAGTGAAGAGCATATTTTAACCAGTAAGTATAGGTGTAAAAGTAAATATTCAAAAGAAATCGAAACAACACAGAAAAGAAAACATTTTTTATTCTTGTCCAAACGTTATTTTAACATTGTAGAAATAGTAATTAAGGTTTTAGAGATATTTGCTTTTAAGTAATGACAAAATGCAAGGTTTTATATTATCAGTTTTACACTAAAGCAAACCGTTGGGCAATTACGGCATATGTCTAGTGTTTTGACAAGACGAGGTGGCCGAGTGGTTAAGGCGTTGGACTGCTAATCCAATGGGCTCTGCCCGCGTGGGTTCGAATCCCATCCTCGTCGGACTTTTTTTTTCTGCACGCAGTTAATTATTTATTAAAGATGAAGGTAGCAATTTTAAGAAACGGTCTTCACTCTTAATACAATTGAATACTTTTTGAAAATAGTTTATAAAAAAATATGAGCAAACTGATATTACTTTTTTCTCCGATTATCATTTGAATTTACATTTCTGTGAAGTTTTTTATGTTATCTTACGTTATCTCTAATAAAAAGTGATAAGATTGTGAAATTGCCATATAAATAACGCAACAAGCAAACTTCTCTTATATGTCAGGATGGCCGAGCGGTCTAAGGCGCCAGACTCAAGGTTACCCTTGCCTGCATGCAGGCTTATGAGCGTTCTGGTCCACTCTGTGGGCGTGGGTTCGAATCCCACTTCTGACATCCTTTTATTTTTTTTTCTTCCAGATTATTGTTTTAATTTACATATTATTATAGTTTTTACTATAAATAATTATTGTTATTAATTAAATATATTTTATATTACGAGTACCGGTACTTTAGTTTATTATAATATGTAGAAAAGAAAAGAAAATTTTCCTTAGTGTTCGTAATTTTTTAAACGGTATAATAATTAATTTTAGGGGTACTAGAAAAAAGTTAATATTAGCCATCCTGTTGTGAAAATACGCAGTTTTTGTTGGATTATTATTTTTATAGCCAAAACCTCGTAAAAAAGTAATAAACCCAGTAAATAAATAAATAAAATATGTTTGGGTATATTATTGTAGTATATGGCATTATTTTATTATAGCAGTCTTTTCCAACCCCTATTTCGAAGCTTTAAATGTTTTATAAATTTATTGATTTATTTTGAATGACTTTTTCTAAAAAATATTATAGAGTCCTGAATTCCTGATACATTAATCTTCATTAAATAAAAATTGTTAAATTTGGCAATAAAAAGTGATGCCCCGGGTGAGGATCGAACTCACGACCTTAAGATTATGAGACTTACGCGCTGCCTACTGCGCTACCGAGGCGTTGACAGCTTATTCATAGGTCTGCAAGACAAACAAAATTTATTTATTTTTTTGTAAAGTAATAATGATTATTTTTTCTATTTCGGTGTTAGAATAAGTCTATTCCAGCACCCAAATGACGTTATTTGAGTGCTGGAATAAGTCGTTGGCGTTAATTTAATTTTAGTGACGGGCTTTCTTCACAATTTATTTCCAAATGTTAAAATAAGAATTATTTTTATTTTTTACAGCCGCCTAAAATTATTTCACATAAATGTCGCCAACCGTCGCAAAATTCTCTAGGAAAAAAATTACAATTTTCGTTTTTTAATTTATAAAATGATATAAAGCGGCAAAATAGAAAAAAATTGTATAAAGCACTTGTTGCAGAAGGTTCTTCAAGCACTCATTTGTTCTTCAACTCGCCGCTACGCGGCTCGTTTCGGAATTTAAAATTTGTGCTTGAATAAGATACCTTCTGCAACTTGTACTTTAATATACTATTAAACAATTATTTAGTAACTGATTAAGTAGCATTTTGCTATACAATCTTTAATCTATACTTAATTATATAAAAGTGCTTAAACATCCACCTGTAGTAGGTAATAAGTTAATAACATTTTAAATTCCAATCATTTGACCATTTCGTCTTGGATTTAGGAAAAAACCTCGAACACGGCTTAAAAAAAGAAGGACTTCTTACTTTCATGCGCGAATTAGACGGGAACGACAACGAATCCATCGATAACTATCTCCGTGATGCTAGCATGTATGCCAGAGGTACTCTTCAAACTCATGAAAATACACTCAGCTATTTATACTTTTCAACAGTTGTGATTCTAAGCGTCCGTGGAACTCTTGTACGAAAATTCATGCTTGTGGCTCACTCCCTTGGTATGACTAAAGGCGACTGGACCTTCCTCGATGTTGAAATATTTCAAGGATCATACTGGAAGGACCACGACTGGGAAGCAGGAGATAGCAACGATGCAGCTGCTAGAAAAGCATACGAAGCACTTCTCCGAGTGTCTTTACTACAACCTACAAGCGACCAATTCCAAGATTTCTCCGATAAAGTGAAAGAAAAAGCACTGAAAGATTACAACTATACGATCAGTGAAAGAGAAGAAATTAATTTTGTTATTGGGGCTTTTTATGATGGGGTGTATTTGTTGGGAATGGCACTGAACGAAACCTTGACCGAAGGTGGGGATATTAGAAATGGAATAAACATTACGACGAGAATGTGGTCGAGGGATTTTCATGGTAAAATTTAAAAAAAGTGGTGGATTTACTTCTAGTTCTTTAATTTAGGTATTACTGGTCATGTGCGTATTGATGATAACGGTGACAGAGACGCCGATTATTCGGTCTTAGACTTGGACCCCATCACAGGAAAATTCGAAGTGGTGGCACACTACTATGGAGTTCACAAACGCTACTCTCCAGTCACTGGAAAAAAGATTCATTGGCCTGGTGGTCGTGAAGGGGCCCCACCAGATGTTCCACGATGTGGCTTTATGAATAATGACCCGGAATGTCGAAATCACGGTAACTTTTAATTGGTTATTAATTTTTGATATTTAGTTCCCCATTTGTGCTGCCGGAGAAACCTACGTGATAATTCTCTACGGATCTTTTGCACTTGGGGTCTTTCTAGCCCTAATTATCACATTCACCTGCGTTTGTAATAAGTAAGTCGTTCGTGTGAAATTTTGGTTATCTCATTTTTGCGTTCTCTTAATTTTGTTTATTATGTTTAGACAAATGAAAATCGCTGCCGACCTCAACAACATGTCCTGGAGAATCCGCCCTGAAGAAGTAATTCTAGAAACGGGTAAATCAGCGTTTGGTTCTAAACTAGCCCTTCATAAACTAACAGAAGTAAGACAAAACCAATACTCTTTAAAAAAATCAAAACAAAATTTTGATTCTTTTGTAGTCATATGGACTTAGAAGTGGCCGCGCTTCCATTACTTCCACTAACTCACTTCAAACAAAAATTTTTACCACTGTGGGCATCTATAAAGGAAGTCGTGTCGCTATTAAAAAAATCTCAAAAAAGAAAGTCGACATTAATAAAAAACTTCTTTGGGAAATCAAACAGGTTCGAGACGTCACTCATGAAAACACGGTGAGGTTTCTGGGGGCGTGTATCGAGTGTCCTACTGTGCTTATTCTTACCGAATATTGCCCCAGAGGGAGTCTGAAAGATGTGTTAGAGAATGAGGAAATTCAACTCGACTGGAACTTTCGAATGTCTCTTATTCATGATGTTGTTAAAGTAAGAAGTATGAAATTATTTCGTTTTGTGTTCATTTCAACTATGTTTAGGGGATGAGTTATTTGCACAGTTGCGAAGTTTCAGTCCATGGAAAACTGCGGTCGTGTAATTGCCTCATTGATGGCCGCTTTGTCCTAAAAATTTCTGACTTCGGGTTAACAACACTGACAACTCCACAGCAAGTCGAAAAAAATGCCGACTATTACAAAAGTAGATTTTTTACAAGAAGTTATAACTTCTAAAATATTTTTTTTAGAAATGTTATGGGTGGCACCTGAACTTCTTCCCCTGACAATCGTTCCAGGCACTCCAGCAACACAAAAAGGGGACGTTTACAGTTTTGGTATTATTTTAGAAGAGATAATAGTCCGTGGAGGTCCTTACGAAGCCGCTCGCCAATTTCTAGAAGCTCATGGTACTTTCCCAAAAATATTTTTCCAGTATTACGAGTATTTATTATTTTGTTACACAGAAATCATCGCAAGAGTCGCAACTCGTGAAAATCCACCATTTCGCCCAGCTGTCAGTTGCAGAGACTGTCCAGAGGACCTTTTAGAACTGATGGAACGCTGCTGGAGCGACAATCCGGAAGACCGACCGACTTTTGATTCCATTAAAATAACTCTTCGCACCATCATGAAGTAGTCATTTTTCTGTTGTAGGTATATTTAATAATCAACTACCATTTTTAGGGGATTTTGTGAGAACCTCATGGACGACTTATTGAGACGTATGGAACAATACGCCAACAACCTGGAGGCTTTAGTTGGCGAAAAAACCGAACAACTCAGCCAGGAGAAGAGACGTTCGGAGGAACTTCTTTACCAAGTTCTTCCCCGACCTGTAGCCCAACAACTCATGGCAGGAGAGATAGTCCAGCCAGAGCAATTTGAATGTGTCACCGTTTATTTCAGCGATATTGTCGGCTTTACGGCGCTTTGTGCCAAAAGCTCTCCCATGGAAGTCGTCGATTTTCTCAACGACTTGTATAGCACTTTCGACAGGATCATAGGATCTTATGATGTTTACAAAGTCGAAACGATAGGAGATGCTTACATGGTAGTGTCTGGACTCCCAGAACGAAACGGAGACTTCCATGCGAAGGAAATAGCACTTCTGTCTTTAGCTATTTTGGACGCTATTCGTTGTTTCAGCATTCAACATAACCCCGACTACCAGTTAAAAGTCCGAATTGGGATTCATTCAGGGCCGGTTTGTGCCGGAGTTGTGGGTCAACGCATGCCTCATTATTGTCTTTTCGGAGATACTGTGAACACAGCCAGCAGAATGGAGAGCACTGGACAACGTAATGATTTGTGTCCCAATGTCTCATCGTAAAAAATATTTTGTAGCTTTGAAAATCCATGTCAGCGAGATTACAAAAAATATTTTGGACAAATACGGAACGTTCAAACTCGAATTGAGGGGCGAGGTTGAGCTGAAAGGTAAGGGGTTTGTTACGACGTACTGGCTTTTGGGAAGTACTGAACCTGTAGCCAGGCCTCCTTCGCCCATGGTTACAGCGGACCAAGACACTAATCCATATCCACTAATTTTTATGGGAAATTAATGTGTGGTAATAAATTAATAAAAATTAATTTTTATTTTATGGACATAACCTTTGTATTGTTACGAAAAAGGTTAAAAAAAACTCGACACGCGATAACATTGGAACTCCAAAGAAAGAATTTTAAATATTAATTCTTCTTGACACAATCAATTCCAGGGCAAATATGCATGTTTTAAAAACAATGCTGCTTTATCTTACGACCTTGTTAATATTTTTAGAAAACTATTTTTTATTGTTAGCGACGAAAATCCACCAAACTAAACTCTAGGAATAATATATCTTAGTCGAGGATATAAAAATTGCATGAAAGGTGACTTTTTATCGGTTAAAAGTCAAGGATGTAATCAAGTAACTACAAAAACATTTATTTGATCTTAGACTCTTGAAATAATACACAAAAAAATTGTTATAAACAATTTTATTTAAATAGTAGGTACATCACATCCAACAAAGAGAACCCAATACAAAATAATTATTAAGATACATATAAAATTATGTAAAGTATCACCAAACAATAATCCTGCCATAACATTGAGATTCCTACAAAATATAATATCAATACAAGGTGAATAAAAAAAGAGGAATTCTTGATAAATGGAATGTTCACTTTTTTATACAAGTTGGAAGAGACTATCAGTCTATTAAATAAAAATTATCAAAAACAACCGCGACGATATAAAACGGTTAACAACTGGAACATCACAGCTTACTAGAAATTAATTCTTTTTGGGAGATTCTTTGACTGGTACTGCCTTGGGTTGGTCCTTTACGGATTTTGCTTGAGCTTCTTTTTGAGCGGGTTTTGTCGGTGGTGTTTGTTTAGGTGTTGTGGTTGTAGGTTTAGCCGTCGTTGTCGTAGGTTTAGGCGTCGTTGTCGTAAGCTTAGGTGTAGTAGTAGTAGAGGTAGGTTTTGGCGTTGTTGTGGTTGTAGGCTTTGATGTTGTAGTAGGTTTAGGTGTTGTTGTTGTTGTAGGTTTAGGTGTTGTTGTTGTAGGTTTAGGAGCTGGGGCTGGTTTCAAGTGCTCCCAACCTATTTTCGACAATGGAATGCGTCCGATGTAATCGTTAAAAGGCGATCCAAGGTAAAGAGTTTCTTTAAAGATGTGCGCTTCGCTAATTCCCGATAGTTTCTTATTGAAACAGTGCAAACTGTCTTTGATTTCTCCGTTTTTGGACAAATGTAAAATCGTGACTCTTTTCGGGTACAAGAACGAAGCCATGCTGAAATGACCTACGAAATGCACGCCGCGTTTTGAAAATTCGTTCGGATAAATATCACCAATAACTTTGAACCCGAACTGAACTAAACCCAAAATTCTAGCTACGAATTTTCGTAATAAGGGAAAAGGACCCATAATTTGAGTAAGTAGTGGGTGTTCGTTATCGACAGCTACGACCAAAGGAACGATGAATCCGCCCTTTCCGTCGGCTTTCAAGTTATCAACGAGACCGGGAAGACCCTCAATGAAAATATCATGGGTGCCTTTTTTGGGACCCTTCAAATAGTAACGGTGAATACGGCTGCGAACTGTTTCACCAACTAAGACGAACTCCTCATCGTCAGATAATACAACACCGTTTGCAAAATGCAAATCTGCTATTAGAACTTTATTTTTTTTCGTTTTTGGATCATAATGAATTAATCTAAAATGGAAAAATCACAATATTATCAAACCATGAATGCTGATAACCTTCAAGAATTAATTAATTATTCAAATCAAAATTACTTACCTCCCACTCCCGTCCGCCAACAAGTCAAAAACACCATCTTGCAAATTAAATTCGGTGCTAGAATCTGTCCAAAAAATATCACCATTGCTGGCCACAGCCACAGAATTTGGGAGGGTTACATTCCGACCGTCGATCTTTTCATCAACCGCAACTAATCTCTCCTTTTTGCCGGTTCTGACTTCAACTTTGAACAATCCATAGTACGAATCAGCGACATACAAAACCCCATTCTTATCAAAAGCCATGCCCAAGGGGCGCCCACAGATTTGTTCCTCATAAATTCCTTTACAAGGTTTCCCAAATTTTACAATGGGGATAATATGATTTCCTGTCAACTTAACAACATCACCCCCATGTAATGACGTATACAACTCTCCGTTGTAATCAACGAAAGCCTCAGGTCCGTGAAGGTCCCCTTTATGCCAAATTTCTACATCGTTAAGTTTCTCGTTAAGCTTAAGCGCCCCCTCGAAAGGCCGAGGTGGAGCAACTCTAAACAAGTAAAACATGTACTAATTAGGGGTTGTTTACGATACACTTACTTGTACGGTTTTTCAAATTTGGCCTCAGGAGGGATTTTCGGGAGAAACGCAACTAATAAAGCGATTATTAGTAATTCAAAAGTTCTACGAGTAAAAAACTTGATGATTCCGACAAAGCTCATCTCTGTAACTGAGGTTAGGGGTAAAAAAAACTTTTTCAGGAATTTAGCAACTTCTTACTTTGTTACTTAACACTACAACGATGACACGACGATTAAAACTTGAGACTAACTGTGCATTTCACGTTTTACGAACCTTGAACCAGCCTTGAACCGATTTGACAACACCTGATGACAGGCTAATTCAAAAGTGGCGCCGTCTGTACAACAATATTTAGGGGAAAACGAAACGTTACTAAGTATTTTCAAACGATTGGGACTGCCATTATTAAAAACATTTGTGATTTTTTGAAGTGTTTGCATTGTTGGATTTTGTAGGAGTCTTACCTAGTGTGTAGGTGAGATATTTATTTTTATACATAACAAAAAAACCGTCAAGACCTAAGAGTTTTTCAAGAAAGTAGCAAGTAAAATAGTATAATCTAATGAAGTAACCATTACTGTACAAGAGCTGCATTATTGCATGTATTTAAAAAAATGGGAGTTTAACTACAAAGTTTAATTTATTTGGGTAACAAACTAATAATCACCAATCATCTTGCTTAAGTCTATACGTCCAATTGTCACTGCGCACCACTTGGACCCCAGGCCCATAATATGGGATTACGTATGCGGACCCATCCGCAGGCCCCACAACTTGAGTCGCTATAAGAACAATATCAACCAACTGACCCAAAAACATAAATCCTAATGTACAAAATTTTGCTAAACCTATAGCTGGATACCCTAAATAAAATCTATCAACTCCAAACATTCCCAGAAAAATGGAAAGTAAAAGAGCAGTCTCAAATGAATAGCCATTCCTAAAATTACCATTTGAGATTATTAAAACCTAACTAATGTATTTCTTACGTCCACTTGCAAGGCATTTCTTTTGTAAAAGTTGAATTGTTGGTTTCTGAACAAATTAGGCCTTCAACTGCTATGCAAGGGACTGAAATAAAACAAGGGGTTACGGTGTGAATACTACGGAATAGAATGATAAACCTTTAGCTTTGTTTTCTTTGCTACAGCCCCGAATTTGTTGTGTCTTGGGGTCAACAAGGTCGTAGTTGGGATCAGGGCAGATATACTGCCCCATTCGAAGTGTGTTACAGTCTAGTGTTTGGGGATTGGGGTCCAATGTGTATACCCATGTCGTTAATAAGATGTTAAGGATCAAATACAAATATTTCTTCATTTTTCACATAATAGTGTTTTGGAGTTCTTGGGGTACGTTTTTAAAAGTGACAGCTAGAAATGTTTTAGGTAAGTAAATATTAATTTTTATCCATTAATTATATTTTAAATTACCATTAAAGAAGCTGCGATGGCTTTAAACTTGCCGATACTGGATCAGAATCTTAAAATATCATAATTGAATTGAACACTACTATTTGAGGTTATGTTTAGTTTGACACAAATGATAAATGTCAAAACTCAAAACATTACAATAATAAAAAGTAGGAAATCAGTAATTATTATGCAACATTATAATGAATCAATAGTGTTTAAAACGATGTGAGTGCTAGTAAAGTTCTTTCCGTCGCTTGTCGCATGATTTTCAACATTTTGTTTCTTGAGGTTATGTAAAAACGGATTTGGGGATATGGCATTTTATCTGAGTCGATTTTACATGAATACCCCTCGATTTTTATCACTGCATATTTTAACTCGAGTGTTGCCTCAATTTTACTCAAAATTTGAGGTCGATGTTATTGACGATTTTACAACCCAATTGATGCAAAGAAAAATCGATAAGTGGGAGTTGAAGAAGCGGCAAAACCAAGCCCTGTTGGAGAATATATCAAAAAGTGACGACAAACATTTAAAAGAAATGTCTGTGGAAAATATGGGAAGTGATCAACTTGTCTTTCTCTTCCAAAACGCAATAGATAATAATGATGCAGAAGCTGTAATAAATTTAATTAAATTGTGCATTCAACACAAAAAATCGCCGACAATTAATATTGTGGTTAACGTTCTTTCAATTTGTGGGGAAAACGGTGATAAAGAGACAATTTCCCAAATTGAGGAATTATGTAAAGTACACTATCCCACTGCACTTGAGGAAAATTCGAATTTTCGACATTACCTTGCAAAGGCAATATGGGTGAAAGGAGATATTTCCAAAGCATTGGAAATATTTGAAAATGTTTATCGTGAAAATCCATTTTTGCGGCGAAAAATCCGCCTCATGTTAAAATACTTAATAACAGATTTAATTACAAATGGCAGTGAAGCTGCATTAGCAAACACGATTGCTTTCTCAGAAAGGATTTTAAGAGATTTTGAAGATTTAAGTCCCCTCACTTACGTGTGGCAGGCTTGTTTCTTGAGTGAGTGGTTTTCTGATCAGAGTATAGCTTTAGAACTACTAGAAAAACACAACGATTTGTGTAAATCTGTGATTAATAGAATCCCTTATGTAGTTTTTGTATCACTGAAGTGTCACAGAACTGAAGTTGTGTACAGGTTATTAGAAATTTTACTGAAGTTTAAGATGAAACAACAATATTCCAACGTTTTGGAATCTCTTTTGGAGTATCAATGTAATGATAAATTTTATTTTGGATTTTTTTTGTTCATATTGATTTAATTTTCAGTTAGGTATGGCGATTGGAGTCAATGCTCGGAAATTATTAGGTGGGCAGTTGACAATGGCGTGACTTTACCTAAAAAACATCATATAAAATTAATAAATTCCATGCTTAATAAAAAGATGAAGACTCCTTTGGCCCCGTTGGAACAGGAGTTGGGTGAGATACCAAAGTGGAAGTTGTAAATTAAGAAAAAAGGAATAATAAAACAGATTTTAAATAATATAAAGGGTTTAATTGCGTATAATTACTTCAACAATTGTGTACTGTGATGATAATTTAATCTGAAGGTACACTACTGGACGTAATAATTGTTGACAGTCCAATAATGTACATGTTTACAAAAAAAAAAGGATTTTTTCGCACCCTCTTCCCCTTAGTACTTTCGTTAAATAGGCCAACTATATCACAGTTGCTAAAATGTACATGCTTCGATAATTTTTTTGGACAAGTCCTTATCCACCATTAAAAAACTAGTTATAACTTAAATGTTTATAATAAAAATAATTCCGGACCAATATTATGTAAATATCAAGAGTATAAAATGACAATTTAGATGGAATATTTGAGCAAATACGTGGTTATTATCAGAAGTTTTGCATTAAAATACATATAAATAATCATTAAATTGACCGTACAATTCTCAATATCTACATATATTCTACCGAATACACAATTACCATGAGTTCATATTAAAAATATATTTTTACACTATTGTTATTTCTGTGAGGTTATACCGACTGGAAGTGCATTTTTCAGTGTAGATCATCGGTTCTTTCGCTGTCGCCGTAAAATTTAGGCTGCAATTACAAAAAACCTTGTCAGAAAACAATAACAGGAAAATAAAAAAAGACAAACGGTTACAAAGCGAAAACAATCAACACAAAGGATATTTTACCACACGCAAATCGCACAAATGGTAACTTACAACAAGTGTAACCGAGACAGTGGCTCTGAAACTATTAACATGACGTTAATACTACATATAGAGTAGTTTGTTAGGGCAGGATAAATATTAAAAAGGTAGCTTATTAAAACGTTCCTTTTTTATCCGCTCCTTAAAAATTCTATGTTGGTAAAAAAATAAATAAGTTTAATGTTTTGGGGTTAATTACTAAATTTATTATGTAATAATTATGTATTTAGGCTACCGCATTTTACTCGTTGTTTGTGAATATTTGAACTAGTAATTATTTTATCAGCAAGGCAGCGTCTGTAACTAATGTAATTTACATATCCACAAAAACATTAAGTTTTTATTTGGTACTATTTTACATTCTAAAACTTATTGCTGCTCCTGAACTAAAAAAATAATGGTTACGTTATCTCTTTGTACGTTTCAAACTCGTCTTCTTCCGCTGTTCTCGCCTCTTGGAGAAAAACAAAATTAATTTCAAGTTTAAAGAGCTCTTTCATTTCGCCTACTCAGCTTTCTTGATAAGCTATCCATTCCCAGAAATCTCTTGTCATTGCCATGACTAATCAGTTGCATATCAAACTTTTTTAAACTTACCAAATCGTGGGAGTCCGGTTGACCCCTGTTGGTCTCTTCGTCGTCATCCGAGTCTTCCTCTCCTGATGAATCAGCATTATTTCGATCTACAAACCGGTAAATAAAATTTATGCCGATTCTAACTAAAAATGCAGACCTTTGTGTAGATTATCTGTGGCTAAATTGTGATTTTTAGCGGCCGACGTGAGCACGTCGTAGCAGTGCAGACACACTCGTAAAGGTTTGGAGCTCTGATTGGGCAAAAGAAATCTTTTGTTAGAACAGGGGCCACATACTACAGCCCCGCATTTGCGACAGTGGTGCCTCCGGTTTATTAGAGTAAATTGTGTCTTTTTGCAATGCATACAAACGGGGGCTTCGCCGTCGGGTACCCAAACAGCTGCGTGTTCTTCTACTGCTTTTTTCCCACTTTTTCGCAAAAGATCTTCAATGCATTTGTTTATGTGCGCCATCCACTCTTGTTTTTCTACCGCTGTGGCGGCGTAGACAGCGAACGATTTGGACGCGGTCCGGATCAGCCAGCCGTTCCGAAATTCTAGACAAAGTGTTTATAAAATAAAAATATTGTTTGGACACTTACGATTGTCATCTTCGAGATTTTCCAATTTGACTTCTTCTAGTGGAATGATATGTTGTTTGTTGTATTTCTTCTTATTTATGATAATGTTACCATATACTAAGATGTCGTTGAATAGAAAAAACTGTCTGGTTTTTGGTTTCTTTCGGCACATTTTAACTAGGACACCTTCGCCAACTAGGACACGTCCTGGGACCTCCAGGGGCTGTCCGGAGTTCCCGAAACAGCTTTCTACGGTGGCTATTCGCCTAGTGTTGGCTTCACTGTTCACTAAAATAGGAATAACACATTCAGCCACAGGCACATCCATGGCGAGACGTGTGAATCACGAAGGAATTAGTCGGGTGGGCAATGAGTACAACGTCGAAAAACTCCAGTAAACAGACCATGAAGGATTGAAATTGCATTAAATTAACCTTATAAGGGACACTGGTGTAATTACTGAGAACTCAAAGAATTACTAAGTGGAATGTGGATTATTTGGGTCGGAATGATTTCGAATTTATAATTATAATAAACTTACCTAATTTATCCACCATTTCTAGCGCTTTCCACGATTTTCACAAAACACCACTACCCACTTTCCCAAACTGACATCCGTCATCTGTCAAAATGACAAGTACGCCTTCATAATAATAAAAAAATGTCCTACTTAAAAATATCTCTTCTGAAGGGTTGTAGAAGGATTGAATGTTTTTTTTTTATATTTATTTCATAATCAGTCGAAAATAAATATAATTTAAAGTTAAACTTTGTCCTTGTAATTTTTGGGGATTTTTTTTGTATAGGTTGGCCACAAAAGCTGCACTATTCGTCATTTGTCAATCACATGACAAGAGTTGTCTGAGGTGTGATCAGTTTTTTAAAAAAACAATTTTTAAAAATGCCAATTTGTGGGCCAAAATTGTCGCTCTGCGGCTTAATTCTGAGCGTTTGGGGTATTGTGCAATTGGTGAGTTGTTTCACCTAAAGGAAATCATGTTTTGTAAATTTTGTACTTTAGGGCTTAATGGGAATTTTCTATCATTTCCATTCGGTGGCTCTCGCTGAAGACCTTCCCGAAGTTGAGCCTCCAGAACATGTTGCAGATCTCGATAAATTTTACAGTGAAATCGACAGGGGTTTCACACAGGTGAGATTAGGTTCTTCCTCCAATGTCTTTCGTGCTCATGATTATTTTTCTTTTAGAATGCCTACAACTGCTGGATCGCTGCTCTTTTGTATCTTGTAACTCTTGCAATTTCAGTACACCAGTTTTGGGCCAACAATCGCTCGTCCTTGAGCGTCTAAAATATTTTTAAGTATTGTTATATACTCTCGTTTATCTGTTTTTAGTGTACATATGTTTAAAATCCTATTCTTACATAGTTAATACCTCGTTATTAATTTTTATCTGTGGTTTAATCTTGCGATTAGTAAAACTTACTATCTTATGAATGTTAGTGTAGGATTATTTAAGTTCAATAAATTAATGTTGGGCCACCAATTTTAAGTTGTAATAAATTCGATTTCTTGTACCTTTAACCTTCACATAATTTCCACCATTAACGTAATAAGCAAGCAATAGTGGAGGGGGGGAATATAGAAACACATTATTTTTAAAGTAATTTTTATTAAAATAACAAAAAAGCACTCTCAACACTACACGAGTCTGAATATGCGAATTTATAAAGCAGTAAACTTGGACTTGTTGAAAGTGGTTTAAATAATGGTTGTAAATCGAATTATAAATATACATATAAAATAATTGAAGAAAAATCAGATTTAAACAGTTTCTGACGCTTTATTAATTATCAGAACTATCGGAATCATACGGACAAGGCCTAGAGTACCACAAATTAGTCGACGCTTCTTTTTTAAGTGTATTTCTCAGCCGTCCGCTGCTCGGACCCGCCTTGTGCCGATCTTCACTCCTCATGTCTCTAATTTTACTTTTAACATACGGTTTATATTCACTATAAAAACTTTCATCACTGTTTGTACTGTCTGCATGTTTATCCTCACTTATAAGACATTCAGCATTTTGTGAGTCTACAGTGGGATTCTGTGTCGAATCGCATACTTCATTCCCTCGATCTTGATGATGTTTATGTGAATGTTTCTTTTCTTTTTTAGGGTTGACAACAGTGTACGACTTGTGTTTACTGTGCTTTGCTTTTTTCTTTTTGGTGAAATTAGCCAAGGGAATATCATCCTCGTTGTCGGAACTGTTATTCCTTTCTTTTCGTTTCTTCTTTTCTTTCTTCATTTTCTTCAAATATCTTTTATGATACCTTTTGTAATCACAGTCAGAGTCTGAAGAGCTGTCTTCCGAACTGCTGGTAGTACTACTTGGCGAAGACGTCGTTGACGGTTGCCTGTGACGTTTCTTACTCTTAGATCTTTTCTCCTTTGACTTGTGTCTATTCTTGATTCTGAGTTTTAATGGAAGAATTGGTTGCCGATTTAGCTCTTCTTCACAACACCTTGTCTCGTTTCGTTCTTCTGAAACTATAATTGGTTCGTCTGAATCAGTCTCAACGAGGTCTATAATGACTGGATCTGATGCTTGGGCCCCTTGATTGTTGTTCGTGTCGCTAACCAAAATCACGTCACTATCATAATCCGAAACATCGATTTCATCAACAAATCGGATTGGAGATGAGTGTTGACGCTCAGTGTATATCACATGGCGGTCATAGCCAACCATATCAAAAGGAGATCGCATAAAATTGTAAAATTCGTGTATGAAATGGTCAGTTTTATTTCCTAAGTAATCGTATAAGAGGGAACGGAACATATAGCTGCATATATGGTGACGTAGAAGGTGATCCATGATGATGTCCACCAAATGCATTACTTGCTGCGTGTTTTCATACAAGAGGGCGTTAAGTTCGCGATTCAACCAGGGCACTAGACGCGTTCTCGCAGCTGGATTATGTCTAAAATACAACAGTCACTTTCTGATCCAACTACCAATCAGTTGTACTTACCTGTAGTACGACGGTGATACATCTCTATACCTTCCGGTTATGTCTGGTGGAGCATAGACCCATAAATTATCGGTATACACCGATCTTCTGAAGGACGTGGAGGTGTCACCTCTTCGTCTCCTGTGATTTGTATACCTAAAACTCACAGAATTAACCCTTCGATTTATAGTTTCTCTTGTGGGAGGAAATGGAGGTTGAAAGATCAGGCTACCGTTACTCCAAACTACAAAGTTACCTGTCGGGGGTAAAACCTCCGATGGTGAGTAACGGATGACTGAGCAACATTTGTTGTATCGCATGTTCTCCGTTTGTATCCACGGTAAATGTTGTTCTGAAAAATGGACAATTTCCAGACGTATAAATATCTATAAAGATAATACTCACCGAAAGTGGTACTGATGCATCGGAGGCGTGGCAGGGGGTAAGTAGATCAAGGAGGCATTCTCGAGGTAACGATTGTTTTCTACTGTGATGTTCTCCACGATGTGGACATCGTATTCGTTGAGAGATTTGATGTTGTGGAGGATGGATTTGAACTCTTGTTTGCACAAAGGACATTCCGCTTTAATCTGTAATGTAAAAATAAACATAATGTAAAAAATTTGAATTTGGCATTTTTATATTTTCGATACTTTTGTATCCATATATCCGAGTGAGTTATACAATTTGTAATTTTTTGGCACCTCATATTAGAGAGATAGACTCAATTCTGGCTTAAACGAGTTGTTCATTAAGTCGTAATACACGTAATTCAAGATAAGATGTTATTTCCTTACCTTACTAAAACAGTATCATGTCAATGTCAATAGAAGATAACTTTTGTAAATGATCATAAATATTATGGCTTTCTCTTACATCCTATAGTAATAGCTGTAATCACTCATATCGCACAAAGTATCAAAGAAAGAAAACGAAAAAAAAAGAAATTATTCACTTGACAAACTAATAGTGTAAGAGCCCGCGGTCGCCAGACCTTCGTCATTTTATAAAAGCTGAAAATTTGTCAGCGCATACTTCCAACACAGGTAGGAACGATGGGCAAGTATGAAGTTTGTTTGGGTCATCGTGGCTTTGGGAGATAACAGGTAGCAAAGAAGTAAAAAATGTTAACTTAAAATTATCAAATAAAAAAGCGTAATTTTTTTATATTTTGTTCGGAATAATATTAGAAACCACCTCATCCATTGCCAGACACTTAACTTCGTGGCATCCCCTAGTCAGACACCCTTAAACTTTAATAAATTGTAACTGTACTTACGTTATAGTGTAAAAGCTGAATTTTATACATGTTACTTCAGTAACTATTAGAAGATGTTTTCTCATTAGCCAGACAGTTTTGACAGTTCTAAGTGCTAAGTTCTAAGTTTTAAGTAAAATAAATATGATTCAGTTTTGACAAAGTATCATCATGGGAGGCCTATAGCTACCCTATACGTTTGTCTGGTCGGGGGTAAAACTGTCGAAACTGTCTGGTTACTGAGAGAAAACATCTTCTAATAGTTGTCCAAGTAACATGAATAAAATTCAGCTTTTAAAACAGTTACAATTTATTAAAGTTTAAGGGTGTCCGACAAGGGGTTGCCACTATATTAAGTGTCTGGCAATGGATGAGGTGATTTCTAATAGTATTCCGAAGAAAATATAAAAAAATATGCTTTTTTATTTGATGAATTTAAGTTGGTATATTTTACTTCTTTGCTACCTGTTATCTCCCAAAGCCACGACGACCCAAACTTCGTACTTGCCCATCGTTTCTACCTGTGTTGGTAGTATGCGCTCAGGCTCTTGCTCTATAAGTATAATAGAAAAACGAACCATGAACTGTTGAAAAATTTGAAATAAAGGTACATTCAATTGCTAGTCATATGAGATTAAATTGGTCGTCATGTGACTCAATAGATACATATGTACAGTGATGGACAGTGAATTTCGTCCACCCAATTTCCGTGAATTCACAAAAATTCACTGTAGTCTGTGCTTTATTGTCATAACTGACATTCAAATACGTATTGTCAAATTTAATCAAATTCGAACATGCGAGCAGTAAGTGCGTTTAATAAAATAAAAATGATCTCCCAAGAGATGGAACCTACCAAAAAGGTACGTCCCAAAGACGTGTCTCTTCAGGGTCCGCCAGAACTCGCGCCCCAGAGAAAAATGCCATATAAGGTAAGATACCAGGAACATGGAAAAAAATGTCGAAGTTATGAGAGTTTAAATTTTGCACTTTGCAAAATTTATTTATTTATTTCTGTTGGAAAAATAATTTAAAAAAAAAGTTTTTTTGCTACAGGCTATTAGAAGAGGAAACAAGGAAGCTATATCCTAAATTGTAACTCTATTCAATGTTATTTGTGGCTTTTATTGGCAAAACTTTTGTACCTTTACTAAGTAATTGGAAAAAAACATATACAGGATCATCAGTATTATAAAATTTACATAAAAAAACGTCAAATGTCAAAAAATAAATGTCAAAAATTTTTTACAGATAAATTTTTTTAAACATTTTTTCCATGTTCCTGGTATCTTATCTTACTTGAAATTTTTCTCTGGGGCGCGAGTTCTGGTGCACCCTGTATACTTTTGGGCATACCAAGGACTACCATTTTAAAGGACAAAGGTAAAAAGTAGCAAGGAACATCGAGCATTCTGTCAAAATGACAAACATTAATCAAAATTCTGAAACAAGGTTAGAAAAAGCTAAAGAATAATTTACACTTTTAAAATGTCAGGGAAATTGGATGGAGGAAATTCACTGTCCGTATATAGAGATATTCTATGGTATGGAGGGCTCAGGAGCCAATTAGTTCAAGTCATAATCTTTCTCAAAATGATTTGTGATGAGTTGATGACACTGAATTGTTAAATCTTTCATTTGGTAATGCACGTAAGGCGCTACTTTAAAGTATTATAATTTCTTTTTCAATAAAGATATTATTTTTCACCTCTACAAGATTTTTTTATACAAAAAAATTATGTTTAATTATCTCTTTTTTTTAACATGATTTAACTTACACTGATTGGCTTCTGAACCCTCTATGTGTATATTCTTAACACTGGAAGCAGAATGATTCTGTGACAAGGCATATTATTTAAAGATAAGGTAGTAAAAACTTAGGGCTACCCTGTTTCCTATATTCTCGAAGTTTTGCTCTCAGTTCGGGCAAAAATAGTAATGGAATAAACTTGTTCAATGAATGAACAATGTTTGATAACCTGAAGGGATTTGTTATTTCGGAAGATTCTTATTCCAGCACATTTATATCTGAAATTCAAGTTTTCGGTTTTATAAGACTTCCGCATTATTTAACTAACTGAACAATGGTTATGTGTTATCTACAGATATGACGATATAAACGTAAAATCAACATGAAAAATAAAAATGCGGATATGATGCTGATTATGATGACTCTTCAAATTGGTTCTTTTAGTTCTAAGGAGTTTGTTCTTTCTTGCGCACCAGATTTTTTTTTATATCTAAAAAATACGATTGGCTTCTGAAGTGTAGTGAGTCATCAACAGGTGAAAATACATCAACAAACCATAAGAATAATTTCGTAATATTATAAATTTACTCACTCTAGACCACTCCAATAAACAACTGTAGCAAAATTCGTGCATGCAGGAATTAGCCCGACATTTGTTTTTGCACGTCCCCAAGCAGATAGCGCAGTGTGGGGGCGGACTAGTGGTATCAGCACGGGGGGTTGTTAATTTGCTGTCTGCCATAGCACTAAAAACGGATTTCACTGCAACTGCACTCTGGAGATGAATGAAGTCATGTTGATTTGTCCAACTAGTTTTGACCTTGCGAATTTCTCGACATTTCTATTATTAGACACACTTTTTACGCAACTAACGACAACATTATAGCGAACACATTAATTTTTATGCTTTTCAAGCCTCTAATTCGCTCTAATTAAAGAAAATACCACACAAATCAGTTCTACAAACGTCTTGTGTACTGATCAAAGAGTTGACATAAAACATCTGAAGCAAGGGTACCAACACAAACCGGAACATTACACTAATACGCCACCTGGGGATTTTCCGGTTATGTAATTATACGAGGTGTTTCCCAAAAGTTTTTCGAGAATTATGTTTTTTTAAAGAGTCGTAAAGTATTTTAATTTAGGGCGAATAAAACAATGTTTGTCTTCATACAAAAGTACCAATTTTATTTAGTGTCAAAATTATAAAATAAATATAAATTCAGAAACACATTTCTATAAATAGATGCAAAAATTAAATTGAAGCATGCTTTATAAGCGAAACAACCCAAAGGACAACAAGAAAAAAAGACCTAGACCTACCATGGCAATAAAATTACAACTTCAACCTTTGGGTGTCCTTTTTAGTAACTGTATATATTAAAAGATATAATTACGAAAACAATTATACATAGAAAAAATGGTAGACTAGTTCTATACACGGTTTTTTGTTCAGTAAGGTTTCATTTACTCAATGAAGAATCTCTATATACAAATACACGTACTTAAAAAAATTAAAGTAAAACTGTAAACAAAACCTCACTCTTGTGATGCTTTATTAAATTTACTTGACAAATCTACAATATAATTCGTTTGCACTAAATTATTTGTAAATAACATTGTATTTACATAGTTGTAAATCGAATCACCCTCACATGTATGTACAAAAGATTTCTTAAAAATTTAAAGAACGAGGTTTTAAGCTGGTAGTTCTTAAAAAATTGTGTGCTCGTTTGGTAAGATCAATCTGGTCCTGAGTCTTGCCGCATGCTACCATAGCCCACATCTTCTCGATCTGTAAGAAAAATGTAACCTTACTATTGGCCGACGCTTTGTGGACGTGGAGGGAGGGAATTGGGCGAGTGCTCACCTTTGGAGCTTTGGGCCTAGTATCCTCAAAAGTGATCCGCTTGGCGGCGGTGCTTCGTGGACCAGAGGCGCGGGAGGGGGCACTGGCAGATGGCAGGCGCTGCCGGGACAAGGATAAAAAAAGCTACAATACCACCACACAAACGACCACATGCTGATTCCCCAAGCCTAGCATTAATACCCCACAAAGAGCCCCCGCGAAAGAGGAGCAATTTAATTTCTTAAAAACTATAAGAAAATGCGTGATTTTTTTCTGTGCAACAACACTACTTAAGTACTCAAGTGCTCTATCTACACTATATCTTAATAATAATTAAATAAAAAAAACAATCTGGCGTAACTATTTTGGTAACGCTAAACTTTGTTCATTGTTGCAATATGCTTCGCATTTTCTTCAAACCATAATAACAACACAATTAACAATCAAAATAAATATTTTAAAGACACAAAATGTCATAATAATAAATCAGTTGCCTTGTAAAAGAACATTTCCGAGTCTTAACCAACATAACCCGATTCTTACATTAACCAGTTGTCACGTGACCGAGGTTTAACCTCGTCGGTTTGAGTTATGTCAGTGCGACCGGCCCCTGATAGTGTGACAATACTTGCGTTCTCTGTGCGATGGCAAAAGCTGACTGAAGAACAAAAAAGAGGAATGGTAAACATGGACTTTGGTTACTTTATGCACAACTTTTAAGTTGGCATAGACTAGAAGGTGAAGTGTAGGTACGAACTCACGGTACATGCAAGATTGGTTTTGTCACTAGACTAAGAAATTTTCCAAACAAAAATGTGGCCAATAAAAAATAAAAACAAATAAATGTACAAAAAAGACAACTACAACCTAGACCTAAAAAATCGAAGAAAACATAGAATTTCGAAGCGATTAATCCCAAAAACATGTTAATAAGGGACAATGGGAACAGGTACAGGTTTTTTACTACATCAAAAAAGAGGCAGGATTAGGATGGGAATAAATTATCTCCGAAATGAAACCATCCATGTACCTTGGATGATCCTGACTGAGCAAAATCCATCAGTCCGGTAACTCCCAATGAATCTTTCATTATCGAAGATGGCGTTGAGAACAGAGCTGAAGGATCGTCGCCCAATGATTTACTCTAAAACCACGCAATTAGTACATTTTTGAAAATTCGATTATCAAAAATCACAACTTACGGGAGTTTCTACAGCAAACGACATATCTTGTGAAGACGTGGAAGCCCAAGATGGCGCCAAAGCCTTCCGCACTCTTTTATTTGGCAAGATATTTTCTTTACCTTCAGCGAGGCCATTTCCATTTTTTCTTTTCCCCGTCATGTAACCACTATCATTCTGAAAAGTCAACCGCAAATCAATAAAAAAACACCACAGCTGTGACTAAAATTACTGTTATCATGAGACTGGTGTCTGTTTCGTAATTCGAGCTGATATCTTGATCCTTCTTCATGATTTCAGTGATGTCTTCCAGACGAGTTGGCGTGTCTGGGAGGTGTGTTATAGGGCCAGACTTCTTCTCCAAGTCGGCTAAAGCCTTCTTAAAGGGCGTTGGCGTGCGGGGTGTGTCCATACTTTGGAACGAGCGCTTGCTGGGCGTTACTGCAGGATCAGTTGTAGAACTAAGCATTTCCACCTTGACCGAAAGACCGTTGGGGGTACTCAAGGGGCTGTAGTCTCGCTCCTATGAAACAAAAAAATCAATTGTTGTCAAGTAGTCTTGTGGAAAGTTTCATACAGGTTTTGTTGATCGATCTTTCAATGGTGTCGTCGGGAATCTCTTGACCGGTGTTGAAGACAAAGGCACATCGAAAAAGCCAGGGCTGTTGAAGAATTGCGAGGGGCTGAACGGCAACTGTTTTATCGGCGAAGTACCATTATTGGCCGGTTTATTATTGTAACCCAACATGGTAGCAAATTCGTCGATATTCTATATAATAATCAATCAGAAATTGATTTTTTACACTCTTTGATTCCTTACCCTGTCTTCGGCACAGTCCGACATTATATAATCTTGTCCTTCACTCTCCCTTCTTCGCCTCGACTTAGTCCCCCGTCTCAGAATCGGAGGAGTGGACGCTCGGATCATATTAGCAGTATTTGCAACAGGTACTAAAGTGTTTTGGTTGAGGTTTGGTGGTGTCAGGCCTGCAAGCAAGCTTGAAATGACGTTTTCTTGACACTTAATCAACTTACGTGACTTGATAAATTGGCGGCTTTCCGAGGAATCCCTCTGTGAAGTGATTCCACTCGAGTTGCAATATTTTAGGTCAAAATCGTCAGTCATTGGTGTTAGTTTCACGGGACTAGTTTGGTTGTTGTACGTATTTACATCAAGGTAGCTAAATGATGGCAAATCTGTTTTTACTGAGTTTGTGGAGGGCGGAGGCGAGGAGGAAAAGCTGACGACCGTATGGCTGGGAGTTAGAGGACCTGGACTGGGGGTGGCCGTAAGCGAGAACCCGCCTGTGCTAGATTGGTTGCTTCCATGGTCATACGTCTCGAAAGTCCAGTCCTGCAAACATTAAAAATAAAATAATAACCGGTCGTAATGTAATTTCACGCACTCACATCATTAATAATCAGATTATCCTGGTTGACACTGCGGCTATCACAATTATCAATTGTCACAACTTGATGATTTTGATATTGAAAAGCCACAATATCTGCTTGTTTCGTCTGGTTTTTTCTGGCCCTCCCACGACGCGTTTCCCCGTCTTGCCGATTCTCGGTCTCGTATCGCCGCCTCATAGTGGAGTTCCAATGATTTTTGATCGCATTATCCGTCCTTCCGGGCAACAATTTGGCAATTTTAGCCCACTGATTGCCTAAAACTTTGTGCGCTTGGTAAATAATCGTATCTTCGTTTTCCGTCCAAGCACTCTTTTTTATTTTTGGATTGAGGTGATTGTGCCATCGTTCTCGGCACTGTTTGCCGATTCGGCCCTTCAAATGACGCGCAATCAAAGTCCATTTCTTGGCTCCGTATTTATTCACCAATTCGATGACTTTTTCATCTTCCTGTGAACACACAAACGGTATTACAATTTCCGCTTTTTCTTTAATTGATTACATGACGTGTTCCCACAAGTCATAGTTCACAAAACACATATGGTGAAGCTTTGAGGGTCAATTTGCGCCATTTAGGACCATATGGTCGTAACGCTTCGCTTAATTTTCACGAAAAAGTGTGAGAATGTTCTAAAAGTGAAGCGAAATTTATGAGCTTCCCCCTATTTGCAAAATTTTGATTACCATGATTGACAAAATCGGAATTGTTAAAAGTAAAAAAGGTTTGAATTACAATCAATTCTTTAACTAAATAAAAGTGGTCAAATAGAAACCCCCACCCTTTGTGAACTACAGCTGTGAAACATAATAATGCTTTGAAGCCTCATGTCTTATATCAGATGGATAGAACTCGCGGTGAAATATTTGTTATGTGCAAGCGATTCTTTTGTATTGGATCAAATTATAGTCAGGGGGAAAAACACAATACTGTTACAATTAATGAAAGAGACAGTTGTATATTTGATCCTTTCGTCCCCACTGAGTATGAGGCAAGGTTGCCTTTTGAAAAATTTGCAAATTGCTTGTTCGTCATAATAATTTATTGTTCATTCTGATATTTTAAGCAGTACAAAATTAATTAAATAATAATAATTAAAACAATTTTGTTATTTCGCTGCCTTTATTTTTGTTGATCAGGGTATTATTTTCTAAAAAAAAAGTACTTAATCAAAGCAATACCAGCAATAACAAGTTATAACGCTTATGCAAATTAACAAAAAATTTCCTAAGATTTTTAACTATATAGGGCGATTTAGATAAGATAATGAGCCTGACGATCTGGCGATGCAACCCAAAAAACAAATTTCATTTACGCCTTTGATCCAATTTCAATTAGGATTTGCAAGTTGAATCCAAGTTATCATCTTGGTGTCACTCTGACACATAGCTCTGACATTAGTTCAGAGAACGATTATTAGTGCCATTCAGTTCTCGCGGAATGATAGAGAAATTAGAGAAGTCTTTTCGGTGTAAACCCAATACAAAATGTATGAAACAATGAAACATTAAAGGTAGGCAAACAGTTTTTTTAAAAATCTAAATTGCATGTCAAAGCACTATCAGAGCAACATAAGATAACTTGGATTGCAAATGCAAATCGTAATTAAAATTAGATCAAAACGTAAATGAAATCTATTTTTTGGGTTGCATCGCCAGATCGTCAGGCTCATTATCTTATCTGAATCGCCCTGTATGTATTTCCAAAATCATATACTAATTAATGTGAACAACCAAAAAATTGTGAGAAACACTCAATAAACAGAAAACTGCCTCATTTATTCAAAAATGATGTATTGACATTATAAAAATGTAAAGTCAATTACATTCGTTACAAATTAATCTGGAATTGCAGGTGGGTATAAAATAGTTTGTTCACAATTTCAAATTTCATGATACCATTTTTAACTTTACAATTTTATCGGACTACATCATTATTATTATTGAAATTCGTTAAAAAAGTAATTATGACCTGCTAAATTAACGAATAAATGTTGATTCATCTGAATAACGTTTTCAGGTGCGTCGTGGTTGTCTGAGAGTCCGATTTAAATTACTCTCCAGTAATGACCGTTGAAAACCGTTTCAGGTTTTCTCATTACAGATCTGTTTACTCAAATCGTGTTTGAAGTGTGTCCGTATCTTTGTGTGCAGCCAAATTCCTCCATAAAGTATGTAAATGTGCAAATTACGTAAGTACAGCAGCCCCAGGGGGCTATAAAACTCTGCGTTTAAAAATGTCCCCCGCGATTGTTACCGCGTCTTGTACTCGCTGATTTACGATTCAATTTTGTCTCGCAAAAGAAAAGCGTGGGAAGCCACACAAACTTGAATTAAAATCATCAAGTTGGGACCGGGAGGGTTGAACGATCATCATATCGTGGCTAACGTGGCCATGAAGACCGCCTCAGATTACAAAGTAAGGTGTGCCCGGACTGGATAAGAACAGTACCGTCCAAAACAAACCAGTTGAATTATGTTTTTATCATGGCTTCATTATACACACAAAAAAAAATGTGTTACGTGAGCGGGGGTGCGGGGTGGAGATTCACCTTGACGCAAGTTCAAGAGTCCCATTCAGTGTTTTACTCCCACAACGAGGCCCCAATGAATAATCGTGTAGTAAAAACGGCTTCGAATTGACAGTTTAAAAAAAACTAGTTTGGCACAGTTCCCCGCCGACCGTTATGGTCAAATTCAAAGTTTTTTCTTATTGGCACGGAATTTCGACGGGATGGCCTTGACAGGTATGTCGTGGTCGGAATAAAAAGCCAAAAGCCTTCCTTCCTCGACGGAAAATTATTGTTAGAAAAAAACAAACAGAAATACTGATGAAATAATTGATGCAAGTTTTTTTAATAGCTCTTTTACCTAATAATTGTTTTCTGTAGGTAAAAATTTCTGGCAGGTGCAAAAAATCAATCTTGTATGACGGAAGAATAACACTTGAAAGGTGCTATGTCATTTATTAAACAAAAGCAATAAATGTAAGATGCGGAATAAAACACTGCCATAGACTAGCTTAAATTTACCTATTTACAGAAATAAAACAAGTCAGTTTAACCATGTGTTGTAATATAAGACTGTTGTCGGCTAGTTCACATATTGTATAAAAACAAACACAAATGAAAAAGCAAACACTGTAGAACTGTAGAGGTACATACAATTTATTATTATTGTTTGAAAATAACATCTGATAAACTTCGGATTAAAGAAAATAATTTGTTAACTGAAATTATTAAAGTACTGGCAGAAAATTACCACTTAATGCATAATGGAAGCAAATTATATGAACTGTGGGAAATTTATCGCATATTTATGATAACCCAGCACAGTCCGTCTCAATGCAATTCAGTCATAATCATTTCCATTAAAACGCCGCATCAAAGAAACAAATAAGCTGGAATAAGTTTGTATAAGTACCAACGATACGAACAAAATTTGGACCTGGTGTTTGCTAATTTTGGCTTGTTGACATTATTTTCCCCCGAGTTGAACGATGTCTTTCGCCCCTTTTTTTTTCGGTGCGCCCAAGCATGTCGAGATATCCAAGACAAAAGCGAAGAAACCCTTCTGTAGAATTTCTCGCTATACCGGTTCCCACCATGAACGGAAGAGGGGCATTGCCCTTTGTGTGTTACCTCTACACATTCATTGCACAAGACGTCGCGTAATAAGAAGAAAAGCAATTTTCTCTCAATAGCCGATGGAGATACGCTCATCAAAACACAAAAAGGAAGTAACGCGTCATTAAAGAATTTTTTCCGGACACCCGAAGAATGCCGATGAGGGCAGAGGCGTCCTTGGCTGTTAGTAAATCGGGTCACGCTCACCTCTTTAGTCCAGGGGCCCTTGACCAATTCGGGATTCACTACTTTGGTCCAGCGCTGCTGGCATTGGACATCCGATCTGTCGGGGAAAAGCTCGGCGATCACATCCCATTTCTCGTTATATTCCTCCACCAGCTGCTTCAATCGAGCATCCTGTAATCAATTTCGATACAAAACAAACTGGTATTTCCATCTATTATTATCTAGTGTGACAACGGCAAGCTTGCTAAATAATAGCAAAAGCGAGTTAATGAAACGATAATTAATTCAAAGCAGGTGTTCGACAAGAACACCAGCTATATGTTAAACTATATTCTCTTCCTTACCTCCTCTTTGCTCCACCGACCCTTGTTTATGGGTTTTTTCGTTTTGGAATGTTGAGGCTCTTCGGTGAATGCTGAAGAATCGGAATCCTCGTTTCCAGAATTGTCGATTTCCGAATCTTCCTTTCGGTATCTGCAACAATAGAAATTTGCTTAGTGCGGGAACAAAGGGAGCGAATTTTTCCCACCAAAATTTGGGGGACTTTGCGTAACTTTAGAATGCAATGGGATCAAAGGTCAAACCAGGTGCATGAAGGTAATCAACACTGTAGGGTGTCTTTTAGAAAAAAAATGTATTTTCTTCCAAAATCAAGCATTATTGGTACACCTATAATCAAAATAATCTTTGGATGTCTGGAAATCTCCCCTTTCTGAGATCAGCATACACAGACTTCAACATGGAACCACCCTTCTGCACTTAGTCCTAGTGATGACCAAATTCGGGGTCGGCCTCACCCCATCATTGTGGCCCTTCCCCTACGAAATTTTCCTATGGGAATGGCCTATTTTCTATTCACCGTAAGAAGATTCACAATGCAAATAATCTTCCGAATATCTTTTACCTGGCAGGTTTCGATTAAACCAGATCTTTTGTACATTTGTGAGACCTCATTTAATCAACAGCAAAGTAAAAATTCGCTCCTTCCGAAAACCAACCCACCCTATGGCGGAAATGCGTGACAATGACAGGAAGCCTTCCTTTAAGTGCGTACGTCAAGCATATCGCCACAGACCGGATGACCTAATATCGTTTTTATAATGAAGTTCGATCAATGAGATAATACTTCCTCGGAAGGGCAATTAAAATAATCACTTTTCATTTTATTCAGATTGTTGTTTATTGACGCTGATGAAGCTACCACCATTTGGAACACGAGAGAAACCAGATACACTGCCATATGTTGTTGATTTATTTACACTTGATCTGACTTCACCCAGCTCATACCGTGAGCATTAGCAGCGTACACTCGACAATGGGAAATTTTTAGCGTCTACTTGCAGAAAAATCGATCAGTGGCTCCAACAGCACCCACACTGGGAAGATTTGTTTACACCCGGCGTTATTTCATGGGAGACAACCAAAGAAGCATTCCAATTTGGAGTTCTTGATGTGCCCAAGTAATTTTTAGTTCTAGTCCGACGTCATGATCAAATTCCAATTTGGCGTTCTTGTGCCCAGTGAAATTTCTAGTTCTAGTCCGATTTCATGATCAAATTTTGTAAATATAAATAATGGTAATGAGATAGTGGATTCTTGTTTATTTTACACCCGGCGTCGAATGTGGATATTCATCGACTTACTGTAGATACATGAATTTACTTGTACTTCGTTAACAACGCTTTCAGAGCTTAGTAATATGCACATACATTACACCTAATATTTGTACAGTTTTCATGAAAATGTATTACCAATTAACGAATTACATCAGGTGTTCTTTTACAGGATAATAAGACAATGTGCGAGTAAAAACGAATTAAAACATTTTTTTTAGAATTGTATAATGAATACAAGCAATCGACTTATATTAAGACAAAGAGAATTAGAATAATTCTTTTAGAAAAAAAGTAAGTATGTAAATTATTTGAAAAAATTAATCGGGAAAAAAAAACTCCTGAAAAGCCATTTTATTAGTTATGGGAAAAATGTTTTAGATTTTTAAATAATCGAATAAATCGATTGAAATAAATTGTGTTAATTTGAGAATGAGTTTTCGAAGTCCCAAAAAAGCTAAAACGACATGGTTTCCGAAAAACTTAAATGCTACAATGTGATAGTAATGGATTAGATTCAATATGGGTCCAAAGGCGAAGAAACAAGTCAATGCTTGTTCTTCGTCTTGCGCAAAAATACAGAACCATAAAGATTCTTGAGCTAATTTTTGGAACAAAATTCTCTTGGAAAAACGAAAAAAGAATTAGACAGAAGGCGATCAGACGAAAAAGCTTAAAAGATGATGTTATGTTCATATTTTCAAATTTCCATTCTTTACAATTAGTTTACGGTCAACTACAAAATATAATTTTATAAAAAGGATTTCCCTGTGCGCTTCAAATTATTCAAATACACTATTTCTCAGTAAACCGATAGGTCTAAACCAGAGAAGTGTTAACTTTCTATGAAACCGGATTATGGGATAAGATTGTCTGTGTACAGGGTGAGTCTTAAGTTATATGCATGATTTTAGGGTATGATAGGTTATGCCATAAACAAATAGTAACTAATAGTGGAAAAAAATATAATAAAAGTTTCTTAGTTATCAAGATATACCGTGTTAAAACCACTATCAAACTTTTAAATTTTAGATAATTTGTACTGATGACACCAATGCCGACATTATATTTGTACATGCCATGCCTGTCAATAGCTAAGTGAATCGATTTTCTTTATTTTCGACAAAAATAAAAAAGTCTGACTTAACTTAATTTAATTTTTTTACCTATAACCTTTCATTCCCTAAGTTTATGCGTATAAATTAAGACTCACCTTGTATACCTACGTAGTCCGGCAAAAATCCTAGTAAAGTGACTATTAAATCGAAAACTTACTCCAACAATAGTGTTATCAGTAAAGCGGAGGGAATTTCCAGAAATAATTTATGACAGCAGGTAATTTTTCCAAAGAAAATATTTTCCTCGAAGAATTTTAAAGAAAAGGCTTCGTGTCCCACTAACAAACATTATAAAGTTTTTCCAACTCCAAAGATATAAGGATTTTACAAATTTTACTTATTAATCACTTTATGATATATTTACAAAACAATGTCGTAAAAATGTTAAACTCCTGACAGGGTGTACCGTGGTTACAATTTCGTTTTCGCAGATTTTACGACAACTACCATTTCATTGCCACTTTTCCCCGACCTTCACTCAGCAATTTGCCGTCTCGAAGTCAATTATCACCGCAGTAGGTGGCAGCGCTACCAACTGTCGTCGAAACCGTCTTCTCCTGGATCAAAACGAAATTGAAGGTAGCACGTGTCTGCGACATATGTGCTTTTCTAGATGAATTGCACCTGTCTTCCGAGGGGATGTGGGCGAAAGGGTCCTTGCCTTACACTGGACATTGAACTGAACTACAGTTATGCCGGAGTAATGAACCAAAGGATATAGGGGTAGTGGATAATGCACCTGATTGTCGAAAGTCTGATATTGCTTTAATTAGTGGACGGCTGCTGTGGTCTTTGTACTTTTCGAGATACGACGACAATTAAAATGATTTACCCCTTCGTACGTACAATGTACCCCATCGTATTGGCAATATGCCGCGTTTTGACACGGGGGTGTTACGCAGCTGCCACTCGTGTGTGTACAATAGCGATGCGTGGGGCTAGACCGCATCTGCGCTGGTGTTGCTATACCAATAAGACCAAAAAAGAATTGGGCACGTGACGATTTTCAGAATGGATGTGGGCGATAAGCGCCGCCGCCGACACCTGGGCGGCCGGATTTAGGTCAGGTTCACATTTCTACACCAAACAGATAAAACTGTTGTAAAATAGCATCAAGAAAGTGACTATGACAACATTATCCAGATTTTTTGAAGGATTGTTTAAAAACTGCCTTTGCTCCTCTAATAATTTAAATAAACGTGAAATTTGAATTAAAAGGGCCACAAAAATAAAATTGAGTTGGTACAAATTCTGCCCTCATCTATATTACTAAGTTAAACCTCTAATTAAACTAAAAATGCAGCATTTTGATTGGTTAAATTGCAAAAATTTCCACAGAAACCTACTAACTAGGGGTTAACCAACGATTGAAAAACCGGCCCTAAATAGGACGGAGTTGTGTTAAACTCATTAATTTGTTTCATAATTTAATCAGTGATTTAAGTTTTTTAGTAATTTTTTGTTTGTCACTTGGACAAATGTGACATTTGAAAGAACACGGAGAGGTTAGAGTTTCACAATTTTTAAAAAGAAAATAAACAAGAATAAGATAGATAAATCTTAGAAAAAGAATTTGAATAAGTGTCATTTTAACTAAATATTTGTCTTTTTGTATGTAACATGGAAAGAGACTACGAAATTCCATGTTGCTCAAGAAATAATGCAGATACCCAGGTAAAAAGCACAAAAATTCCGATTTATTTAAATTCTCACATATTTTATAATTTTTTTGAAGGAGCAAGAGTTAATATTTGTTCTACAAGATGATGAACTATAAAAACTAACTAAACGTTTTTTCTTATTATCAAAAACATATACCTAACAGATGTTTTTCCTTCCACACTACAAAATCTTTTTTTTTGACAAAAAGAAGAATCCTCTCCATGAATCTATTCTAGTTTTGTCAAAGAACCATAAAAAAATCAATAAAAGAAAAATAATGTTCGTCCGAAGGCCAGCAAAAAGCATTATTAATTATTATCATCCCGCGCATGTGTCCTTGTGGTGTAAAGTACTAAAAATCGAGGTGGGGTTTACCCATTGATCAAATATTTGTTCCGATTTTTTCACCCAAGTACCTATCCGTATTTATCTACTTTACATCTTGGAAAATTCTTGAGTTCGAGCTTATTTTGTGTTTAATTTTTTTTTCATTTGGGTCGCATTATCACAGCATTGATAGTGCCTGAGTAATTTATGCACATATGAGGGGTCATGCGGGCCCGGCAGGTGTCCCTTGTGAGTCCCCTCTGGCAGATGGTCTCCCCAGGTCGATCGATATCCGACTTGAACTTGCTACCATAGATACATTCGCGTCTAATTGCAAAACTTCATCAAGTCTCCCGCCTTTTCATGACCCGACCTCGAGGTCAAATTTTGATAAATTCAGATAATGCAAGTTGCCAACATGATTTTTCCCACGAGCCTATTTCATGCATTTAGGAAGTGCAAATCTCCCCTTTTGAGGTCCCTCGGGACACTTTTCTTAGACACACGAACCAATTTCCAGGAATCACATAACGCATCTGTCGATCGACCCCAAGGAAGTTTCCGGAGGGTAACACCCTTGAGTCAATGAATTTCTTCACTGTTACAAGGAAGGTAGACGACGCGTGCCGCCGATACATCTGCTAGGAAACAACGGGTCTTTTGGACCCATTGTAAGACGTTTCAGACATCGCGAATTTCTATAAAAGACCTCTTTTGTGGGGATTCCGCGACTGACCATCAGCTGTTGGCGCGAAAACCAGTTCCGGGGCAAATATTTGCTCGCGCGAAAATCAACAAACATCTGACATGTGGGCGACATTTTTCTCATGAATGGAAGAAACGAAACACGAGTGGGTACGCGGCCACTCCTTTTGGTTTGAATTTTACATACGACATACGAACAAATTAGATTCAATACGCCCACCCTTTTATGTTTTATGTAACGCGTAAGAACATTAAACTCGAGTTTCATTGATGCGAAGCGGGGGCCGACAAGTGCAAAAAAGCCTAACTTGTATGTATCGAAACTTGTAATCGCTACATCTAATCCATTAATCTCCAATGTTCGGTGCTTAAGCAAATTCTTACTTCATGAGAAATGTAAGCAAAAATAGCACCAGAATTTATAGCGATATTTTAATATTCCACATTAACTTACAAGCTCCAAATTGATAATTATTTAATTCATAACTCCGAATCCGGTTAATGATAAGATAATAAAAAATTCTCTTACGAGTATAAAAAAATGTAGATAGAACTAAAGATACTCTCCTCCTATTTTGTTCTTCCAACTCAGTATTTAATAAAATTTTGCATTGAAAATATAAAAAAAAAATGTGGCGCATCAAAAGTCCAATTAAAACCTTAATTACCCAATGCAATTTTATTCACATAATACCACATAATCACCACCGTCATTAACTTAACCCTTCTGTCCCGTCTTGACCAACCTCTTCCGCTCATTTGTACAACAAAGTATAACTGATCCCAAAAAGGGTTGACGTTACTTTTTTTAATTCCTTTTCTTTTATTGTTTGGTTGGTGGGTGTGGCGCTTGGAAAACTTTTTCAGCACCAAGAAGCATAGAAAGATTGATTGACAATTAGTGGTTGTCGGCAAAGTTCCAAGCTTTACCACGAAACAAACTTTGGACAAAGAAAAGTAAAAACCCCTGGCATAAATACTTTTTATTTCGGATGGTCACATAAATAGACTGAAAATAAGACTGCTCATTTTTCGAAAAAGATTTGCATCTCAGAACGAAAAAAATAAAGATAAGAACACACGGAAGGGTCCCGAAAGTAAACATAGAAAATGTAGCATTCTACGATAAGTTGTATTTTTTTATCATTTCCTGTGGTCGCGTGTTATAAAGATTCGTATAAGGAAACACGTAGGACACCCTCTTTGGTAAATATACGACTACACATTAAGCTTGTTGGAAGATTAGAACGATTACATAATTGAACGCACGTTAATTTCATTCTAGCTTATTCAACAAATTGCTTGCTTCTCATTGGCAAATTCAAATGAGTAAACAACATTTCAATTTCGTCGAATGATGTCATGAATAACCGTCTTTTACAACGTGCTCTTCGCTCTTTGGAATCTTCGATTTCTACACTTCTTAAGGGGATAAGGGTGGCACGACTGGTACGGGGAACCACATCGTTGATTTCGGAAACAAAAGAACTGTGCCAATGTCAGGGTTGACACAATTAAAACTGTCCTAATTACATAATAATGTCTTAATGTTTTTCCCCGGCTTGGGGGTTGTGGCGGTCTTTTTTATGGCGCCATTTTGTAAATAGGGGTCGGTTCATCCCGCAAGCTCCGCATTCCAGACGACCGTCGACCGGTTTATTGAGACAAACCGACGGTTTTCTTCGAAGAAAATAATTTGGTTAGAAAGAATTCAGCTTACCTGTCGTGGCTAGATTGGTAATAGTGAGCCATATCCACACGGGAGCCCCGTAGGGCTGCAGCACTCGCGCAATGCACTCGCCGTGTTTACTTTAATTCGACAACAGTCACTCAGATGCCTTGCTTTTGGACTGCAAACGAAGGACGGTTTCTGGTTTTCAACGCGCCTTTGACAACGAAAGAACCTGCGCAATAGGACAAGAACAGGGACGGACTAGGGAGGATATTTACCCGACAAGAAGGATGGCATGGTGATAAGATCGAATATGAAGAAACTGAAGAATTTACACAAAAAGCAGACACAAATTTGCAGAATTTCACATAACCTCGGCTGTGAATTTACTGTCAATTATCAGTAGTTGCACTTGTGCCAACTTAAAAATTTCTTTATTTTTTTTAAATATACAGGGTGTTTGATACAAGTCGCCCCGGCTGATAACACCTAAACTTACTTTTTTTTTCAAAAAGTAAATATTTAAGTAAGAATATTAATTCTTGGCTTTCTTAAGAAATGTATAATTTTTTTTTTAGCACATTCGGTGTTGCCGGAAATGCTACCAAATTTAGTTTTTCAAATAGAACACCTATGTTTTTTTCCTCGAAACAGTAATAATTGGCATGAAAAATACCGTAAACCACTTTTTATTACATTTTGCGTAACACAATGCAATCAGAAAACATCTTAAATCTTAGAATTTTATAAGGAAATTGGTCGCGTAGCCTGATTTTTAATTTTAAAGGAAAGGTGTGAATAAAAAAATACTTGGATACAGTTTAACTGTTGGTTTGACAAATCTAATTTGTCAGTTGATGATCGAGTTCTCTTATGAAAACTCTTGGATTTTCTTCGACTGATAACAGAACATTCAGATTTCTATTTTCTTGTTCTTCACTAAGAACCACAGGTTTTTTAGTTTTAAGAAGCGAACCTGTTCGTCTCATTTGTTTTTCAATTCGACTAAATATCCAACGATTTGGGTGAACTCTATTTGGGTATTTCTCTCTATACCTACTGTCTTTCAGCTTCCGCTCTATCTTTATTGCACTTAAAAAACACTTCAAACTGATCTACCAATTCGTCATAATTATTATCATCCATTATTAAAAATCTTAATAAGATTTATTGACAAATTAGGCTTTGTCAAAATAACAATTAAACGGTATCCAAGCATATTGCTTTTTGCATGAATACCTTAACAAGTAAAATCCGCCTACGTTTCAAAATTTGCTAATAAAATTCTAAAATTTATATTGTTTTCTGAGTGCATTATAAAGTTAAATGTAATAAGTAGTTGTTTACCGTATTTTTCATGCCAAATATTATTGTTTCGAGCAAAAAAACAAGGTGTTCCATTTGAAAAACTAAATTTGGTAACATTTCCGGCTACACCGGATGTGCCAAAAAAAGTTGATGCATTTACTAAGAAAGCCAGAAAAGAATAGTATTATTTGAAAATTTAGTTTTTGAAAAAAGAAGTAAGTTTAGGTGTCATCGGCTGGGGCGACTTGGATCGAACATTCTGTATATAAATGAAAATTATTTGAAAAACATCTTATAGCTTTTAAGACAACAAGAGTTTTGTAGACAGATAAAAATCGAGTTCGTAGTTTAATTTCGAGCATAAATGCACCATAGAAAAAGTATAAGATATTAGTGTTGGAAAAAAAAAATATTTAAAAAATCTGTTAAAATAAAAGCGATTAATATTACCAAAACATCGTATTTTATAATCAAGAATGTCTGGTTAAGTTGGCAGCAGATTTAAGAGTATTTCCTTATTAAGGGCAGCTTTTTGATTCAGATGGCCTTGTTAATGCAAAACAGATGGCGCCATCTAGACCAGGATCGCGCGCGGCGCTGTTTCGGTCGGTAATTCAGTTTGGGTTTTTACTTGTCGTCTGTTGCGTAGACTGTAGAGTAGACAGTTGACACAAAGAATAAAACAACCGCAGCAGCAATTAACAATTTCCTTGTAGCAGCGTGTGAGCGTGTTGTGCATCGATTAACAGGTAAGTCAATAGGGGCATTCAACACTCGAATCGGTGAATCGAATCGTAATTACGGAGAACTACATACTAGGAGACGAAACGAGATACAAAATTGCTTGATTTTTTGGACCCAAAAAAAGTAGTACGGAGGAGTAAAAATGAGGGCGCTTAGAGCGTTTAACCGTCTCAGTTTCAAATCGTTTTTAATTCATTTAAATTCAACCAGTTTACTAATTGCTTGGGAAAAAATACAAAAATGTTGAGCTTTATATTCTTAATGAGCTGTAAAAAACGAACCAGTAAATTTTTCACGAGAAATATGAGAAAAAAAATATTTAAAATTCAAAATCTGTACTCCGTTTCATGTTTTTTAAAATGCTGCAAATACGGTTAAAGATACAAGAAAAATGTAAGGAAGAAAGTTGTAGAGAATAAAATTTTCTACAAAAAAGTCCACGACACCATATCTCTATCTTTAATGGTTTAGGCCTCAAAGACGTTCAAAGCCGCTCAAGCGACGAATGTCTTTAGGACCTAAACCATTAAAGATAGAGGTATCATCTCGCGGACTTTTTTCTTGGAAATTTCATTCTCTACAACTTTCTTTTTTATATTTTTCTTGTATCTTTAACCGTATTCGTAGCATTTTCAAAAATATGAGACGGGGCGCAAATTGCTAAATGTTCGAAATTTTTTTAAATATAGTTTTCAATAAAATTTTTGCATTACTTTTATCTCTTATTTTTGAGAATTTATTGCTCCATCTGTCTATATTTTTTTTATTTGCGTTTTGCTCACCGTTATGTAAATACGGCCATTTTTTTATTTCATTGCTCTTAAAACTTAAACGGGAAAGGAACAACTGCGCTATCTGGCCTGGCTAACGGAACTATCGAGAACGGGGACGTTTTGTTTTACATCGTGTCGTATCCTAGTCTTTAGGTATCCGTAATCGTAATCAAGCGATTATAAAGCGATTTACATCCTTGTTGAACATGTTTGCATCATTGATGTCAACTGTCAACAGTCAAATGGTATGCGATTTATTTATACGGCACACACACTTCCGCTGTAATAACTATTTTATAAGAAAACCGTGCAAATACACACTATTAACAAAACGATGTTACACTTTACCCAACTTTACGATTCATTGACTGGAACATACAAACATAACCTATCTTTTTTGCGGCTAGTTGTATTAGATTTCATGATGACGCATGCTCCAAAAACCGATGTACATCGCTTTGCATCCTAAAAATTTTACGATTGAAATTTTCTCAATCGATTCAAATCAATCGTAGTCTGTTGAACACGTAAAAGCGGTTAATCGTAAAGTAATTGTTAATCGATTCACTCCGTTGAATGCCCTTATTGTCTTGATATTTATTAAATGTAATACCTAAGTAAAATGTAATTCGTCTGACATTATGTTTATTTTCAACGATTGTGTCTAAAATTAAAGTAAATCAAATAACTGAATCCTGACCCACGAACGTGGTTTTTACTTTATTAGAAAGGGGATATAGACCATACTGTTTTAACTGTGGATTGCATAATCATTTCTTCGTCGTCGTCGTCGTTTTAAAACATTCCTACCGACCTATGACAATGGACTCACAATTAGACAATATGCATAGGATTTTGTATTGTCATCTATTATCAATATTATCAAACTATCAAAATCAATGATTGAAATAAATTTATTCAATTTGGATTGTTATAAAAAAAAAACGTGTAAGCTATATGTCATGATCAACATAGCATACCATTTCGATTTTTTATTTTTTTGCATTTACGAATTCACATTCCCGAACTCACCAGGATGTTGGAATTTGACTTTCCCGACATCTTCTAGTGGACCAATTTTGACGAATTAAATACCAATCGATTTGTCTTCATCCCGAAAGTGTCACAAACTATAATATATTTTTAAAACTTCAATATGGCTGCTCTGTTGGAACCAGATAAGACTGTCGTCCTTTTTTAAGAACATCTGCAAGTAACCTTAAGAGGAATCTCGAGCACATGGGTTGATTAAAAACATTCAATCTATAGCATAGCATCGTTTCTATCGGGCCAATTTTGATGAATATAAGGTGTCAATCGATTCGGTTTCATTTTAAAAGAATCACTGACTATGTTTATATCGAGGCGTTTAATCCGCTTAAGGGGATTCTTCCACACGACGAACTGACCACAATTTGCGGGTTTTTCGTCGGAAAACTGAGGCTTACCCATTCGAAATATTTTTACGAAAAAAATATATATGATACAATTCATTACGATCAAAACCCCTTGAACAAAAAGAGCTTTAAAATTTTTTTAAATTTCGCAAAAAAAAATTTTGAAATAAAGGAAAAAATTGCTCATCTTTGTAATGACATTTTACCTTCGAAGTTATTTATTTTTACAAAGAAAATATTCAAGCGAATTAATTTAATATGTTGTGAATATGATATTAAAATTTGAAATTTGTTAGTTAATTACAGGTTAATTACTTTTCTGAGAAAATTTTACTGTAAAGACGATGAGAGTTAAATTCATCGTATCTTTATCCTTCAGTAGTTGTCACACTCACACGTGTCCCGTCCCGTTCCCATGAGTGAATTGATTCCGAGAAATGCCCAATATTGGAAACATTGTCTCTGAGCCTATTCGTCTTTGAAAGCCGCCTTCAGTTGTGTTTTGTACTTTGTAAAATACAAAGCAAAATGGGTAATAAAAAACCATTGCGACTGTCTGATAGTCGTAAAAGCAAAAGATTATTAACTAAGAGAAGGTAATAACCACAATTTTTTAAGTACCTAGTATGTATGCAGATTAGGTAAATCAAAAGAAATGCACAAAATTCGTATTTTCGTCATGTCAAAATAAATAATAACAAACATCAAATGGTAGCATATTTAAAAGACTGGGYCCCCATTATAGTTATAAACGGCCAGTCTTTTATCCAATGTCTGGGTACAGTACAACTTTTTAATTAGCTCCACAAACATATTATCTAAAGTAGGTAGATATAATGAGTGATGATAAAACCAACAAAATATTTTACAATCACTAACACCCATACGCGATCTTCATTTAGCAAATGACTTCTTGTTGAAAATATTTTTTTTGTTCTTTTTTTTGTTCTTTCGCTTTGTTTATAAGCGAAAAAATTGTGAAATATACTCTACCAGGTGTCCTAGAAGTTGTTCCGTAAACACCCACAATTATATCTGGGTTTATACAACTGATAAAATTACAGATGGGCAAAGCAAAAAGCAATGCAAAATACTTCTTCAGATAACAGSGTTTTCGACGAGGAAAGGGGTCAGAACACACCAATACCTGAAGAGTCTGATCATCCTTTAAATACTGGAAGTCATGATTCAAAGTACCTAATTACCCAAATGTTTAAAAAATAATAATAAAATGAGCATTTTTCAGGAACAAGGAATCTTTTGAAGGAAATCGAATAGTAAACATAAAATATTTTTTGACACAAATTTTGTCTTTTAAACATTGTGAACTGTTTTCGTGTTCAAACGACGCACTTGAAATTATAAAAGAAAAAAGAAAAGGGTTCATTTCAGAGTTTGTCCTTCATTGTAGAATGTGCAAAGAACAACTTATCAAAACATACGAAGATGATGGGAAAATGAATCCGAATAAAGCATCTGTCTTAGGAACATTAAGCATTGGTTGTGGTTATTCGCAACTAACGGAATTTGTCAGTGTCCTCAATATTCTACCGATGAGCTACAGACAGTACAAAAGGGAAGAAAGTAGTTTACYCAAAGCTATTGAAGAAGAAAGCTGGAAAAGTATGATGGAAGCAGGAAAACGTGAGGCGCAGATTGCAAGAGAAAATGGTGATGTGGATGAAGATGGAGTACCATTGATTACTGTTATAGCCGACGGTGCTTGGTGTAAGAGATCATACCGGTCTACTTACAATGCTCATTCTGGTGCAGCCTGCATAGTCGGCCAAAAAACAGGCAAGATGTTATTTTTAGGTGTGCGTAATAAATTTTGTGCGATGTGTCAAATGTCAAATAGTGTACGTGATCATCTTTGTTTTAAAAACTGGTCGGGGACATCTACGTCCATGGAAAGCGACATAATCCTAGAAGGATTTAAACGCAGTATAGAGATACACGGAGTAAAATATGCATTTTTAGTTGGAGACGGAGACAGTAGCGTGTTTAAAAAATTACAAGCTGCCAGAGTCTATGGAAATTTTGAAATTCAAAAAATTGAATGTTCAAATCACCTTCTACGGAACTACTCTAACAATTTAAAACAATTAACAACAAAAAAATTTACTTCAAAAGGTTTGGTTGTAGACAGTACTTTGCGGTCCTCCCTAAAAAGTAATATTCAAAGATTGAGAGTGGCAGTAGATTGTGCTGTAAAACATAGACGGAGCGAAAATGTTACTTTTCAACAAAAAGTTACTAATCTTAAAAGTGACATAGAAAATGTATTTCACACGTTTTTGGAGAGCACACCAAGTGTGCTACATATTTCTGCACAGGCTCGAAATCAAACGAAGTCAATCTTATTCCACCTTTCAAAYAGTGTGYTTTGTATAACGATATTATGTCCCATGCTAATCGTTTAATTTATAACAGTAGAAGTTTAATTAAAAACATGACTAACAACCACGCAGAAACTTACAACAGTGTGGTGGCGAAATTTATTGGGGGAAAAAGAATTGATTTTTCGAAAAGGGGAGGTTACTCTCTACGATGTCATGCTGCAGGAATATCGTTATATCACGGAGCTGAATATCATTCAGCTCTACATAGAGCTGTAACTGGAAAAAGTCCGGGACATTATACAAAAAAAATCATTTTAGTTAAAAAAAAAGGGTATCAAATTTGTTATGCAGAAGAAAACTCTTCGCCAAAAGACGTAACAATACAAAAAAAATGTTAACACGGACCATCAAGGACCAGACGAAGATTATGGAGATGTTCAAAAAATTATTGATGACGAAGATTGGTTGAGACGCAAAGAAAGATTTCTTACAGACATTATTAAAACTAAAGAACAAATTCTGGAAGTAATGAATCAAACAATAAACCAAAAAGATTCTCTGTTTTGGCACCAAGAAAGGCGAAAAAGAGTTACCGCTTCTACGTTCGGAAAAATTTGTAAACTAAGATCTACCACGGACCCAAGGAAAACAGCGAAGCAGATGCTTAAAGCTTTTTCATCGGTTAGTACCGACTATGGTATTGACCATGAACCGATAGCTTTAAAAGAATTTTCAGAATTTATCAAACAAAGCATACAACCTTGTGGACTCTTTATCGATGAGAATGACTGCTTTCTTGGTGCCACATCAGATGGTCTTTTAGGTGAAAAAGAATTAGTGGAAGTTAAATGTCCATACAGTTGTCGTAACCAAACCCCTTTGGAGGCCATCACAGCAAAAAAAATGTCCTTTATGGAGTTAGTATCTGGTGTATGTAAACTCAAAAAGACACATAATTATTACTACCAGGTACAGGGACAATTACATATAACTGGTAGAGATTCATGTTATTTTGTAGTATGGACGCCAAAAGGATTTGTTTACGATAAAGTTGGGCGAGATGATGAGTTTTTTAATAAAAACATGAAAGAAAAATTAAAAACATTTTACTTTCAATATTATTTACCAGAAATTTTAATATTGGAACACATATAAAAATTACATTTGCTAAATTTTTGTTGACATATTTTTTTGCTCAAAATACAGACTGATCCAGAAAGACTGTTTTGTGAATAGGTTCTGCGTCTCAACCAATTTTTATCTTTTAGTAGATATTTTTTTGAACATTTTTGATTTCTTTTTAATTTCTTCCGAAAAAATTCCCTTCTATACAATATGTATTGAAAAATAAGTGTTACAAACACCCTCTTTGTGATTTGAGTGTTGTAAGATTTGAGAAGTTGGAACACTTATTTTTGCACTATTTTTTCTATCAAGCGCCTTTMAAATTGCATTTTTATTAAATTACACTCCATCAGAAATATGAGATATTATCTACCATGTGATCATTTTAAATTAGAATTAGAGTAGGCTTTAATATTTTTTAACTTGTATGAAAACGCTGATTATCCATAATTTATCAAGCTGAAAAGTCAAATAATAAAATTTCGAACGGTAATATTTATTAGAACACATTTTTTCCCTCAGTTTCCACTAGTTTATCATTTTACCACAAAAAACGGCCTTCTCTAATAATAAATTTAAATGATCGCATGGTATTATTGATTTTTGTTTTTTTTTATGTTTGTAAAAAATACGTAAAAGAGAGATTTACAAGAAAATGTAAGCTGCATTTTGTTGCAATACGTATGTACATAATATAATAAACTTATTTTCTAACATGAAATTTATTCTTTTGTGTATTACGTAACCAACTGATTTCCTGTTGAAAAGAAAATTTTTACCCAACCCAATATTTTGAGTCCGTACAGTATGAAAAATTAATAATATTTGAATACCAAAAATAATAACTAAGTTATTTCCTGTCTTGCGATCAAACGTCGGCAGTGTGAGCTACTTAGCTTTGAAAAACTAATTTATTGCAAGGGCCTGTGGACTGTCCTAAGCCTAATTTTTTGGTCGAGCCTGGAGCCGAACATTGCAGGCGACCAGTTGTAAAGACAGAATGATGTCAGGAGTTATTGACGTACATCACTTGTATGGTCGGCTACAGGCCACATGCACTTGCGATGCAGCTCTATTTGGCATAAAAGCTTGCTCACGCCGCAACATGTA